TGCCGGGCTAACTTCATAACAGACCCCCGCGATGTTTGTCTAACAACTTTGTTTGTCCTGAAACTGGGGAACTGAAAGTGAACTGCCTCTGATGTCTACATTCTGCAGTTATTTATCACCTCTTACACTCCGGTCACGCAAGCCCTCGACTTTCCCAAAAATTTCCCAGGCTTTTCTCAGTCCACACCCTGAATTTGCGCCTTCAGCTATTTGGTGTTTTACATGTTTTCTTCTTTTGGCCAAAAAGTAGTCTGGCACTTGGGGGAAACAGTGTCTGAAATATTAAATACCCTTTAGTGGGATACAATCCTTATTGAGTTAGGTTCGTTCTCTTCAAATCACATGTATCACTTTCCAGGTATAGGGTCTAAAAGTTACCTTTTTGTTTGTTTTGGCAAACTTTCAGGCCGAATGATAAAACCCTGGCAGGGCCATAAAGTCATGTGCACGTGCTTATAAACAATTATTTATGCAAAAAGTGAAAGGGAAGATATACATGGCCCCCAACCTAGTCGGAGGAGGTCGTGACAATGATAAGGCACTGTAAGTGGTAGATGTCATGAAATAAATTTTGCTGAACTCATTTCCTTCCTATCCTTCACGGCAGTTTTTGGCAATTCTTTTAATTTAATTTAGGAACTACAGGAATTCATCAACTAAATAAAAAGTAAGAGTCATAAATAAACTTGTCATGACTCAAATGCATGGGTGCAATCAACTATTTGATTTTGAATTGTTTCGTTTATGTTTATTTTATTTTTTGTTATTCTGCCGCCAAGAACTGACAGCGGATGTCTGCGGACTGACACCAAACATCCTTGGGCCCAAAGAAATTTAACTTGTCGGGCCCCATCATCGTCATCATCATCATCATAAAAAAAAGGCAAGCTCGAACTTTGACACAAAAGTTGGTTCATTTTTTTGTTGCTGTTTCCTTCAAATAAAAATGAACAACAGGCTGAATTTTATTCGTGTCCTCCTCTGAGCCTCCCGCTCCTGACTCCTTTGCATATTATTTAAATAATAAATGAGTTTTTGACAGTCGCAGTGAGAAAGTGAGCTTCTTGGATAAAGTGGAGGGGGCCTGGTACTCTTTTTGGATTCTTTTTTGGCTTTGGAGGGGCGAGGTGTCGTCTGACAAGTGAAGGAATTGCTCTTGTTTCGTTCCGTTTCGTTTATACGCTTCAGAAAATCGCCGGGCACACAATGTTGCCAGAAATAAATAAATCTCTTTAATGTCCTGAATCCGAGGCTTCTGTTGCTTTTCCTGCTCCTTCCATCCCCACCCCCATCCACTATTCGAATGTTCCTCCTCTGGTTGGTCATGAAAGCATATTTGTCGTTGGTGTGGCTGGTTTCACTGTTGACATTATACTGTTTTAGTTGTTTTCTAGTTTTTGTCCTTATTTTTAGGATCCCTTGGCTGGCTACCAGGCTAGCTGCCTGGAGTCGCGGGCAAGTGTAATTGGTTTAGCTAGAAGCTTAACTTTTATGCTGTTTTCAGCTACTCTTGAAGGTAATGAAATTTCATGGCATTTGACTCGAGCACCAACTGTGCTGGGCATCCCGAGCGTATACGTAATGTTGGTTTATTTATGGAGTGGCCATTGGCCATTGGCCATTGGATGTTTGCCGTTCACCTGGAGCAGGCATATATCAAGGTAATTACCCCACCTGAACCCACTCACTCAATTAATTGTTATTCTATTGAATTTCAATTTAAGGCAATTCCTCACTTGGTCAATTAGCCAAAAGCCGCCAGCCACACAGAAGACTGAAAGTTGCAGAATTTATCCGAAAGTTGGTAAAGAAACATTCATTAAATCAATGCAGGAATTTAAGAGAAAGCCTTGGAATTGGCTTTCATTGAGTTGAGCTTGGTTTTTAGGGAATGTGGTCTGTTGATTTATTATATTTTCAGATAAATGAAAACAAAACTTCGCATCCAATTCCAAGAAAGTCAAATGCTAGAAATTCATGAAATACTTTAGCTTATTATGTTTCCTATCCCATCGTTATCCCTTCCAAATGGCTACTAACGCATTTTGTTGAAAACTCATTTACTAAGTTACCCTGAAAGTCACCGGAAACTTTCAATGCCAAACACACAAGCGGAAAAATGTCATTCCACATCCGCAAAAATGCAAATTGAATTATATCGAAGTCATTGAATGGGTTGTGACTTCACTGGAACCCATCGCCCTCTTGGCCCTCTTGCTTTCAGAAAAGTTCCATGTGTGTTGCAACGGATTTATTGGCAAAAAGAGATATACTCGTATTTTAGCCAGATAAGTATAGGTTACGAATTTCATGACCTGCCAAAAATGCCAACTTGTCCAAGAACAAATACAAAAAAAAAAAACAGAAAAGGAAACGAACAGAAACGAAATAAACGACTCGCATCTGCCGCATTGGCTTTTTGATTTAATTCCAAGTTCTGGCAAGGACAATTCACAATCCTTGCCACACCCCTTTTAGGCACTTGAGCGCACAATTAGCTGTCAGTTTGAATAGCAAACGGGCTGAATCTGGCCCGGCTTCCTTTGTTCGCCAATTCCAGTTCCAACTACCACTGTTCTTTGTTCCCCCAAAAAATTTTGCAGCAAAGCGCACTTGTGTTTGACAATTCAATTTGTAGAGGGAGTCCTGGACGGGACGGAGTGGGTAGAGGATACATCTATGTATATAAAATCAGCCAGAGCCCAGATACTGCAGCTTTGAGTCGGGTGGCTGAATATTGATCCCCCGGATAATCGTAAAGCAGCCAAACAACATTTTTCCACAACTTCCACTCAGCAGGCGATTATGGAAAATATATACATATATAGTAGTATACATTATATATCTATAAACCCAAGGCGATTAGGGAGAAGGAGAAAGGTTCTGAAGTGTTGCGAAGCTAAGCTGTTCCGCAGCGCATTGACAGCTGTGGAAATTATGGAGGCACTGCGTCCTTAGCACCAGACCCTGGCAAAAATCACCAGTAACAACAAAATGTAATAAAACAATTGGCGCTTCCGCAACATTTCGCAAGCGATTTGTTTTCCTGTTCGGCTTGGTTTAAGCCCGGTCTGCTTTAATGTCCGATTTGGCCTTAAATACATTTGGACAAGTTTAGTTTCGCTTCTCTGGCCGGTGAACAAGTTAAAGAGACCCTTGAGGGACATTTGGCATTGGTCGTTTATGTGTGGTAGTACACTAATAAAAATAGAAAGGATCTATCAAAATAATTGTATATAAAAGGATATCTACAAGTTCAGCAAATACCATAAGTAATTTTTAATTTTTTAGGAGTTAAAAAAGTTTATAAAAAATATATTTTTGTAAAGTGCTTTCTCAGTGATCTTTGTTAACAAATATAAAATGCCACCATTTCTCTTAATGCCCTATGAGTGTTGAAAAAGTGTGATTAAGATTAAGAATGTTTACTGCTGACACAAAATAAGCTCCTTAGTTATTTAAGGTCCTTGCTAGGTGATCGTCTTAGTATTTTCATTTAATTTTTAGTGTTTCTGTTCGAAATCTCATGAGCCATATTTCAACACTTTTTTCAAGAAAAGTTTTTTAGTGCCACAAGCGGCTTTCATTTAAGCTCCTCTGGAAAGTAGGATTCTGATGGAAAAATTGGTTGCGCTGCTCCTGTTGCTCTCCGGTTTCGTCCTGTTGGCCATTTCTCAACTGCCACTCTCGAATTTGAAAGTTTTTCGCATAAATTTCAAACAAAAGCAAGTGAAAAACTGGAATAAAGGCAGAGACACTAAAGTAAACAAGCCGGCCAGGACAACATAGTTGCAAGGACTGCGTGTTGGAACCCAACTGGGATCCTTTAAGTGCTTTCCCCATGATATTACCCCCGCCGCGGACTAGACCGTTGCCCGTTCATAAAACAAAAAGTTAAATTTGATGGGATTTGATGCGAGGGTATTCACCATTTATTGGGCACTATTTTAAGTCCCGGGCTTAAATGAAGCAAAAAGGTGGTGTGTACAGGACTTGCAACGGCGGGTCCTGCGATTACTGCAACCATTTCGTAATCAGCGGCGGCGGCCCAAATTTCGCACTCACCCAACGACGAGTTCACCACAGGTCCTGGAGAGCGCAGAGCTAGTATTTCTTGCGGCAGCAGAGAGGGTCCTTACTCTCTGGTCTTGGCCAAGTTCTGCGGGGGCGTCAATAAATGTTGCCGGGCAACATGTTGCCAGCTGTTGCTCCGGCTGGCATCATAAATATTCAACGAAGTTAAGTTGTCATAGCCAGTTGAAGACCAATTTCCCCCGTTTGAAAGGAGCATGTGTGGCGGTCGAATTGGAGAAGGGTGACTCCACTAAAAGCCAAACTAAATAAATGTTCAATTCAATGGGTATCCAGCCGAGTCATGGGAGGGCAATGGGTCTGCCGGAATGGAAATTTCACTGGCCCCGTCTTCGTCATTTGCTAGGCTCAAAAAAAAGGCACACACTGGAACTTATACTACATTGCTTTCTTATAACTTTTAATGTTTCATTTTAATATAAATAAAATGATAAGTTACAGGACTAAGACTAATACCTCTTTAAAAGAGCTTTTCCTCCTTTTATGAATCTTTAAATTTCATTTCTTTCCCTCTATATTCAATACATTTTGATTATTTGTGCATTTAAGTGAAAAGGGTCTTGAAGGAGTAAGGTGGCGTGCCACACAAAGGTGAGTAATGACCCCTGAAGCTGGATTTTCTATGTCAGCCAATGTTTGTGTGAGTGCGTGAGTGCCTTTGGGCAACAATTTGGCCGCCACTCCCTCGATTCTTAAGACCCCAGAAAATTTTGGGCTGGGCGGTCCCGAAGGTTATTGTAATTTTGTTCGTGAGAAGTTTTGGCAGGTGGTCGAATTTCGATTGATTTATATCCAACTGCATAATTACGTATGTACAAAACCCAGCCCAGCAGGTCCATCCGCTTTAAGTTTTCCGATAGATCAACCTTTTTGGAGATCCCAGTAACCTTAGAGCTTGGGTTCTAATTCTAACATTAAATATTTTTTGGTTTCCATATTAGTCGGTTTCATGCCTTGAGTAGTTTTAAAAATTTTAAAATAAACATTTATTTGATAGGTTCATTTTCTTGTGGATAGTCGTTTAAAATTTGACAAAATTTAATGTAAAATACAAGCTTTTGGTTAACCAATATGTCCGCGATAGGAATCAACGGTTTCGGCCGCATCGGGAGGATATTTGCTCGCCTGGCGCTGGTGCGGCCCGATGTTCATATACTGGCAATCAACGATCCGTCCCTCGATCCAGACTACTTGGCGTACATGCTCCGCTATGATTCCACGCACGGCATATTCAGACAGGAGATCTCGGTGGACGGGGACAAGTTGTGTGTTGCCGGCAAGACAGTCAAGCTGCTGAAGGAGCCCGATATCAAAAAGGTTAAATGGTGTTCCTATGGCGTCAAAACTGTGGTGGAGTGCTCCGGACGGTTTACCACCATAAAGCTATGCCAGCCTCATTTGGATAACGGTGCCGAGAAGGTGGTGATATCGGCACCCTCCTCCGATGCTCCGATGTTTGTGTGTGGAGTGAATCTGGACAGTTATAAGCCCGGAACTAAGGTCATTTCCAATGCCTCGTGCACCACCAATTGTCTGGCGCCCATTGCTAAGGTGGTGAACGACACTTTCGGGATCGTTGAGGGACTAATGACCACCGTGCATGCGGCCACCGCCACTCAAAAGATAATCGACGGACCCAGCGGGAAGCTGTGGCGGGATGGTCGCAGCGGAATGATGAACATCATCCCGGCCGCAACCGGGGCGGCCAAGGCTGTGGGTAAAGTAATTCCCGATCTGAACGGAAAACTTACGGGCATGGCGTTTCGTGTTCCAACACCAAATGTTTCCGTTGTGGATCTGACCTGTCGTCTCAAGAAACCGGGCAAGATGGAAGACATCCAAAAAGCCATGATTAAAGCTACCAAGGGCGACTTGAAGGGTGTGTTGGCCTACATAGACGAGGAAATGGTCTCCACCGATTTCATTGGCTCCAAGTACACGTCTTTGTTTGATTCGAAAGCCTGTATATCCTTGAACGATAAGTTCGTCAAATTGATCAGTTGGTATGACAACGAGATGGGATACTCTGCCAAGCTTCTGGACCTGGTTCTCTTTAGTCAGTTAGCCGATCACTGTGCCAAGGATTCGGCGAAGAAGAAGGGAAAAAAGAAGGACCCTTGTGCCAAGAAGAAAAAAGATCCTTGCGGCAAAAAGAAAAAGGATCCTTGCGCTAAAAGCAAAAAAGATCCTTGCGCCAAAATGACAAAAAAGAAAAATTGCGCCAAAAAGAAAAAGAATCCGTGTGCCAAGGATAAGAAGAAAGATCCCTGCGCAAAGGATAAGAAGAAAGACCCTTGCGCGAAGGATAAGAAGAAAAACCCTTGCGCGAAGGATAAGAAGAAAGACCCCTGCGCAAAGGATAAGAAGAAAGACCCCTGCGCAAGCTTTAAGAAAAAGAAATCCTCTTGCGCGAAGGACAAGAAGAAAGACCCTTGTGCCAAGGATAAGAAGAAAGACCCATGCGCGAAGGATAAGAAGAAAGACCCCTGCGCAAGCTTTAAGAAAAAGAAAGACTCTTGCGCAAAGAATAAGAAGAAAAACCCTTGTGCCAAGAATAAGAAGAAAGATCCTTGCGCCAAAAAGAAGAAGAACACATGCGGTAAAAACAAAAAGAAGGGCAGGTGCGGTAAAAATAAGAAAAATAATCCTTGCGGCAAGAGGAAAGACGATTTTCAAAAAAAGAAAGGTGATCACTGCAAGAAGAAGTAACTGAACTCGGCTAAGTGGGAACCAAAAGAAGTCAGTAAAAAAAGACGCCAGTATATCTAGTCCGTCTCCAAATTTAACGTCTCTGCTTATTTCGTATTTTCATCTCAAAACATGAAACAGCTAGAAAACATCAATTTTAAACAAAATTTTAGTTAACCATGAATAAATTTGTAAGGAAAACAATTTATTTGATGGGTCATAATTTATAAGTATCTTATATGATAAATAATCTAAGCATCTTTGGAAACTGATTTAAACGTTGCTAGAGTTTCTCTGAAAATGGGCGGAGGATATGCTCTTAATTTCATTATCCTCCATGGCACTCGATTCGCCGCTCTGGTGGTGATCAGCCTCCACAACGATGTCGTCCAGGGTGGGGGTCTTTATTCGGTTTCGAATAATGAGATCCCTGTCCGAAGGCGCTTGCAAATGAAGTGGATTGGGTGTCACTTCAGCGTCTCCATCGCCACCTGCACCTACACCACCGCCACCACCCTGCAGACCTAGCGTCAAATTGACTTTGGCATGCTGTCCAGTGGTTAGTTCGCTGCTGGGCTGAACATTTTCCATGGTGGGGGGTGGACGCAGTCGAGCCGGGTCCAAAAGAGAGTGCATTTTGGTCTGTTTCCGAGGTGTCCGAGCTGGCGATGCCTTACGCGAGTTGTAGTTTTTAAGCTGTTTCGAACTGAAAAGGAATTGGTAAGTTCCCGAGTTTTCAGTGTCTCTCTAATACTCACGCCTCTAGCAGTTTCAAAAGCAAATGATGATACGCTTCGTATTCGTCCTTGCCAAATTCATTCGGATCGTGCCTAGCATGCTCGTACATATCGCAATACTGGTGAATCATACGCTGCCCAGCCCCGTTCAAAGTTACCGACAATGTAGTTAGCAGGAACGCTCTTAAGCTTTCCGGCGCATGACGAGAACTACCATCCGCCCGGGCGATCTCTGATTCCAGCAGCTTCACATCATCTACCGCCTTCATGCGATAGTAATACGGCGGCAGAGGCGCCTCTGGTTCGGGCTGGACAATATACTTGTCACCATCGTTCCACAAAAGTTTTGGCTCCTTGGTAATCTTTGGTATGCAGTCCAACCGACGTTCAATTTCGCGTCTAAGCGCCTTCTTGGCATCGTTGCCCACTGGGACATGAGGACCCCGTCGTCCTCGCAGCTGGAATCGCATTATCTGCCGCTTGGCGAAAATGAAAAGCATCAGGGAGGTAAGAACGCCTCCACTGATGATAATAATTATCATCACACCTGAGAGCTGCTCCATGTTTCCTCCTGCTTTGGCCACCTTGTGCTGAATCTCCGGAGTAATGAAGTCTCCTAGCTTGTGCAAACGAAGATGGCCATCCATAAAATTCACAGATTCCTTAACAATTTAATAATAATAAACAATCCCCTTCGTTTTCTTTGTTTATCAATAGAGACGAACCATTTTTGATAGGCAATAGTATCGATTTTAAACATATCGATTGCTTGCCGCGCAGCTTAAACTTAATTCAAAAATACAATAAAATCCAGTTTATTTTTTTCTTTTATTAAAATCGTGACATGATTTTATTAAGATTTAAGAGCTTTCATAAATATTTAAAATTTATTCTATAAAAATGTTTTTTAAATTTTTAAAAAGTATCCAGTAAGATGGATCACAGTGCAAAGCAATCAATGCGCTTTTTTGTAAAAACAAATGTACAAAATCCTATTCTTTTGAGCGCCTTAACAATTTTTAATTCAATCCGGTGAACGCGAACGATTATTTACATAGTAAAAAAGCAATCCTTGTGGATGTACAGTCTCTTTGGCTACGAGCTACTATATATCCGGCACATTTCACGTCCATGGGTAATTGTTGGAGAAGCATACCGTTCCTATTAGACTATAGGTGGTGCACCATATAAATAGAGCTCCTCCTGCGGAGCGAAATTTCAGTTTGGCTAGTGTCTTGGGCATGTGATCCGCGGCGAACCAATAGAATACCGGAGTGGCCGATGCCAGGAGACGAGTGGACACCTGGATGTGCACGAAGACAGTGCAGATAATGGTCAGAAAAGCGGCATGCAGGACGAAAGGTAATGTGGTGTGAGTCTTGATTAACTCCTTGTAGTTGGCCAAGGTGGCTGTTGGCCAAACGCTTTGTAGAAAGTTCCGCAGGTAATCGTAGCAGTGCCAGTGCATGAAACTCAACATGGGAAGGGCCAAAATAAAATTGGGAAGCTGCTTCAATTTGTAATAGCGGAGGAAACCCACATCCCAATAGTGGGACTGCACGTAGGTATACGGAAAAGGTAGGGTATACTGGCACCATGGCGATCCTTCTGGTCCCTGGCCGGAAACTAGGTATTTTCGCTCTTCGGCATAATCCAAAACGTGCTGAGGATGTTTCACCGTCACAGACGGCATGCAGTAAAGTCTATATATGTAGAAATAGTATGTGTGCAGTATCGCAAGAGCACCCACAATGGTACCGATCATCTTTGCTTGCAGCCAGAAACCCCTTCCTTTTAACACCAAATGCCGGACATAGAAGTACAGCGGGAATCCCAGGGTTATTAGTCCGTTGGAGCGTGACAACAGGCAGGCGGTTAAAGCAGCACATATACGAAAAAATCGAAAGTTCTTGTTGCCTGGCTTCTTGCACTCCAGCATCAGATAAAAGCTGGCATAAGCGAACAAGGTCTCCGAGTACGCCGCACTAAAGAAAATTGTGGCCGGATTAAAGCAGTAAACCAAAGCGGCGTTCCAGCTCTTGTTTATGTCATTGAACATCCTTTGAGTTAGCTGGTACAGCAGGTTTGCAGACTCGCAAAAGAGCCAGGTGTTTAAAACCACTGCCACTAGGAGTAGAATGGATTTTTCAGAAAGCCTAAGGCCAAGTGTTTCGCACGCCTGTGCCACGTTACGCACTATAACCGGAAATAGTGGATAGAATGCAAGGGTGTTCTCGTACGTGTATAGATTTCCGGCTATGTGCAGAAAGTACTCGCCGTCCCAGTGCCGCAATCCTCCAAGACAGCGGATCACAAGTTTGTCCAGCCACGCGAAATACATCTTCTTTGATTCCTCCTCCGAAACAGCGGCAAGGGGCATTCGAAAAACATCCGGTTTATGATCCGGCAGAGCTCCATTCGCCAGCATCTGGATCACGAGTACTATGATGCGGCTGGTCAACGCCAGCTTCGTGACTTTTTCTGTCATCCTGCCGCTTTTCTACTGTGTTGGGTGGAGTCGATTCTTATATGAATGGCATGTGATTCATTTTCTGCCGTAAGCCTACCTTTTGGTATATCTTCTGTGGAAGAACACCTTATTCCGGCACTACTCCGTCCAAAAAGGAAAGGCGAAAGAGCAGTTCTAGTGTCACCTGGGCAGCACCCTTTCACGTTGACATTTGCTTCTGGGACAACTTGGAAAATTTGCCCGGCAACTTAAATGAAAAACCAAAACACAAATCCAGGCCAGTGTGGCACTTTCTTGGCCAACCTAAAAATACCTAATGCGGTGATTTCCATTTTAAATTCTTTTAAAGTTTTTCCTCTCACTTAGGATATAATTAAGCTAAAATTATATAAGAAGAGCTCTTAATCATACATTATTCTTGGAAATCAAAAATTTTAGATATCCAAACTGTGACTGAAAACGATAGTTACCAATATCCAATGACTATCGAGTTACCAATGACTATCGATAACTCAACTTATCGGAAAATATAGTGGCGGCAGTTTGTGCAGGCATTGTTTGTGTTTTGTTTTGCAATGGTTTCGAGATTTGCGGGAAATTCCTTGAATAAATGACGGTCCAGAATGCCAAACAGCTCCAAAAAGTCAGAGCCCTCTCGGAGCAACAGTTCCACGCCGAGGAGGGCGCGAAAACGCCGCCGCCTGGAACGACAGAGCCTTGACTCGCAAGTGGATGAGGATGTTAAAGATTTGGACCGGCGGCTAAGAAAGGTGGCCCGGGAGAACTGCATCAGCAGCGAGGACATGCACAAGGTAGTACGAAGTGTGGTCCGCAATGACCATGTCTTGGCACTGGTTACCTTAAAGGCAGAGGATGAGCTGGCGCGGCAGAAATCCTTGGAGTCACCGGAACAGCAAAAACGTGGTGCCATCATCATTACGGATACCCCATCGGTAGCTAAGCTCACTCGTGCCAAGGCAAGGGAGCTGAACTGCACTCCCGGTATTTCACTGCCTCAACTGAATGATACTCCTGCGGATAACAATGGAATTGAAGCACTGATCCGGGAAGAGTTGCAATCAGACGAGGAGGATGAGGAGTACACGTTCAAGGAAGATGATTTCCATGTAAGTACTTAATATTGGAAGTGTTCCCCCCATTATTATAAATATTTTTCCTAGTCCGATGATGATCCAAGTACAGCAGCTTCGGATTTCGACTCAAATCCTTGTACACCCCAAACTCCACTCACTGCAGCTGAAGAGTCTCCGGTTAAGTTGTCGGAAGATGGTTGCTTTAAGGTTCCCTTCGATAAGAATCTGGCTAACAAGGACGATTTACGGATAGCAACCAGAACACGCTCGAAACTCTGCCTGCAACAGACCACCATCGAGGATTTGCAGTCTGAGTTCGTACCGCCCGATTTAGAGCCCAGCGATGTGATTGAGCCGGAGATAACCGCCACTGATGCCGACTGGATGCAGTTTCTGAATGATTTCACAAAGCCTATGAGTACGTTTGAATAGTTGTCATGGCCATATATATTTATGTTAGCTCTTTTACAGACAATAGCTTCCTTTGCGATGACGATGATCCCATCAATGATCCCGAGTATGTGGCGGCTGATAATATGGACGCCGAGTACGATAATGCCGAGGAACTTCGCGATGCCAATATATCCAAGAAGGAGCTTACTGACTTAGTTTCAGAACTGTTTGCTGGTTTGCTGCAGGAGGGAGTATCCCTTGAATCGGTCGAGCTGGAAACTCCCCAGAAGTTTATCGAAAGCGCTAATGTTACGGCAGATCCCATCGAACAAGTGACCCGCCAGATTGACTTTGATACCCAGATGGTACAAAATGATCAGGAAATAGATGTATTTCAATCCAGTATGGTTTCAGGTCAATGTGAGGCAAATACTACCTTTATGCCCGTTCCACTGGTCGTAGTGCAAGAGGGAGCCCTGGAAAAGAGTCCGGGAGGAACGCCCTGTAAGATGGTGAATATCCCAACAGATGTTCTGAGCCAACCTCCAGAACTGATTGCGGTTCCAGTCCCAGGGCAACCGAATTGCTTCCAGTTGGCCAAAGTGATTCCCAATGAGCCCGAAGTGTACAATCCACCACTGGTGAACGATTACGCCTGCCCCGAACCAGTGGATAACGAGCCAATTCCCAATGAAACCAAAGTTACTAATGATCGTTACACCAAACCCTATGATACCAACTTTACCTGGGAGTACATTTCCGTTAAAAAGCATGTTTACTCTGAGTATGATACCAAATTTGAAAATCTCCGTAATGAGGAGCCATCCAACTATAATAGCCTCGCAAGATTTAAGGGATTCACCAAACCCCAGTACGATATGATGCAACAGCAGCTACGCATTCACACCCAGATGCTAGCCCAGAGTTATCTGCAGACATACTCCCATCCAACACTGTATCCATTAGCCAATAAGCCCAGGGAAATGCTGGAGGACCTCCACCAAAGAGCAAGCCGAAATGCGACTTTCAATTGCTGGAATCTGCAAGGTGCGGTTGATTTGGCAAGGAAATGGGAGCACGATCTGTGTAGTGACGAGTACGAAGAGGAAAACAAGAAGATGATGGAGTTTATAAACAAGGAAACCGATTTAACGTGAGTAGACTTGTTACATATTTTAAACATTTGAAATATATATCTCATTTTTCTAGGGACGGCCATACACGACAAGTTCCGCGATTGGCTCCTCGCATAATGGATCTCATGCTGGATAGCAAGGTCTTCATGTATCCCCAGTATTTGCCACGCATGGCGTTCCAACCAAAACTGAATCCCATTCCTGTATATGCACCTTCGGAATATCAGCTTATAGCCATAGGTCTGGAAAAGCACATGCCGGCTATTAGAAATTCTTCAAAACCGCTACGGAAACGAGCAGATCCTCTTCGGCTGGCCTGTAGACGAATGGCCAAGGATACAATTCACGGAAAATCACCCCGGAGAATTTTTATGAAGATATCGGAGCTCCGCGAGTCGAAGCAGTATAATCCTATTAAGTATTATTTTGATCGAGATCGTGCCCCGCCCATCAGCCAAATCCTTTTTGGCTTCTATAACGGAATAGTGAAGATACCCAGGGATCGCTTTCCGGAGCTGCCCAGTGGCTGGCAATACTTCATTGAGGTGAGAATTACAATTCAGAAGTTTCAATTAACATTTTAATAAGAATTCACAAAGGGGGGGACAATCTCAGGGAAATACAAAGGGATAGGGGTATACTAGCCTAGTTAGCACCCCACCCGATCTCTGGGGATGAGTCGCAGCTCCGACCCGTGCTTGAGGAACACATTTCCGGCTGTCTGCTGTGGGCTTATGCCGATTCCATCGTCTGTAATAATGGCACTTGTCTCTGCCGGAACTTTAAACTCTTCCGAGGCAAATTTTAGCACAGCCGTAAAGGGTGTCCCCTCTGGAACACTGAGCACCTTAAAGGGCAGCTTGGGGTCCGACGTTAGCGTGATCTTGAAGGTTACTTTGCTCATATTGGAATGTGCAGACGTGGTCAGTTTCGAGTTTCACTTGGAATTATATATTCTCCTTTGTTTCCAGCAGTAGGGATCTTTGACTCTGTAAGGGAAGAGTATTTTTTTAGTGTTGTTATTGATTATTTTAAGAAATATCTTAAATTTTTTATTTAAAAACAAAAAATATGCTAACATACCCTTTGTGTAGTCAGAAATCGCGATGGGTTGGTTGTTGCTAGAGATGGGAGCTAGGTACCAGTGTTGTTTTGTGGGCTAGTGTACAAAATACCGAAAAGGAACGATTTCCAATATCCATAAATGTTTATAGTAGAAAAATAATTCTTTTATTTTTATTTTTATTTCTTTATGTTTTTTTTTTATTTTACTTAAGTTTAAAAGTAATAAATTAAATGTGTACCTAAAAATGTGCCGTCTCTATACAAACCTTATCAGTAATTGTTATCGATAATTATATACCTTGCTTCTCCCATCTCTGTGTGTTTATAAATTGCGGAAAATTTTCAACTGCCCCTTTTACAGAATTCTTGGGATACAATCAATACTCGACGACCTTCAAAAGCAGTCAAAGCTTCATCCGACGCCGGTATCTCGTATTTGGAGTTTGTGCGTGAGGCTGTGGGCGAGGATTTGTTTCTGCCCGATAGCTTTGGTCAGGCTGCTGTTCCAGATGGCAGCGCCGCTGGTTCGGAACCCATTAAGGATCGCAAGCCGAAGAAGAAACCATCGAAAAGGATACCTCGCCCAGCGAAGGAGAATGCTCTGCTGACAATTAATGTAAACTATGTCTTTGGCGGTGAATCCAGTCCAGGAAATTGTTTAGCAGCATCTGGGGTTTCAGTGCCTTTACTACCCGACGGGAGCTACACAGACATTGTGCGGAATATCAATCGAACCTTGAATACCACTGAACAGTGCAACGATATCTTGGCGTTGCCGCCAATTCCTCCTCCATTAGCCGACGACGCGCCTTGTGCAATAAATTATAGATTGGACGAGCTCACAAATACGCTGCAAATAAGCGAATGCGAAGCCACCACCGAAGCCGGTACACAGCAGGACCTGTGCCCTGTTCGGGAGCTAAGCCGATCTTTTTCAGGCAAGAGTTGTAAACGGCCTCGTTACCAAATCTTTAAGCCAAAGGTAAACCCAACGATAAAATGCAAAAACGGATCAACACCATCGCGCGGTCGCTACCACAAATTATTTGGGCGTTTGCGCCATAACCTGCGAAATCGGTGTCAGTCATTAATCACGTCCTACGGGTCCTACCTGAGTAAGCGAAGAGAGCTCTATATAAAGTGCGAAGTGATACAGCTCGTACACAGACAATTTCTGGCCCTCGACCTCTACACCGAACTGCTAACAGATTTGAAGATGTTCTGCAGCACCAATGCCAACGTTACCACTGCCGCTGCTGCAGCTCCCGCCACCACTACCACGAAAACAGCCACGCAGCCAAAGAGAACGAAGGCTGATGATGAGGCGGCACGTGTTAGAAAGGCCATTAGGGAGGAGGAGATGCTGCGCCAAATGCTGAGACCAGACACACCCGAAGAGCGAAATCGAAAAGATGCCAGTAAGTAACTTATAGAAAAAGAAGAAACTCCCATTTTATTTATTGTATATTTATTTCAGTATTTGCTTTGAATTTCTACGACAAAGTGGAGGAGACTCTGCTGAAGGCTGATCGTGTGGAAGATTGCAGGAAGTTCAACAGTTTGTTGAAAACCTTCGATCCACACAAGGATAAAGTCTCGGAACTATATTTGGTAAATTCACTTAAATTACTATAGTGAAAGTATTCTAAACTCTTCTTATTTTTTCACAGAAAGTGGAAAAAATTCTCATGCCCGACCACCCAGAACTAGCGGAGATGTTTCTTAATTTTTTGGTACCTGCCGAGGCTGCTGAAATTGGCAAATTCTTTGAGCACTTCATGATAACCAATGCCACAAACTTCATTAACAAATTGAACGTCTACTTCAGCAAGCAGCCAGCGCAGATCAGAAAGATATATGCATGCCTAAGCGAATTGGCCGAGTTGCCCAATGTGAGCATGAAAAAGGTTGAGAACAAGATAATGCCCTTGCTCAAGGGCAATAAGTTTCTGTGCGACTGGTTTGTGCAACAATTTCCGCAGGGAAAACCTCCGAAACGAATATTATCTCCAGTGGAGACTATAAATCTTCTTGAGGTGCAAAACAACACTACCGGCGAATACACAGAGACGATTCAAGAATTCTTGGATGTTCCAGCGCCTAGTAAACCCAGCTGCCACTTACGGTACATAAATGGTCGAATTTTCTATGGTTCCAAGATGCTTCTGCCCGCCAAGTTGTCCTTTATGGCTGCCAGTATTTATAATGAGCAATCAGGCGACGTTCCACTGGCTTCCGCGGAACCTTTAACCTGTGCGCATGCAATTCGAACACAGGGCGAGAAACTAATCAGTCTGGCATCCAATGTGGACAGCGATGATGCCACCGATCGCAGTGAGGAGGACGATGCCAGCCGTGCTTTGGTCATAGATACAACAGGGGACGAACAAAACAGCTGCTCCTCCATTGAGATGTGCGATGATGTAGGCTTCCGGGCCCATGCAATTCGCTTGAATGCTGGCTTATACTCCAACTCCAGTTTTAGTAATGCTGCCACTAGTACTCCAAATGTAGGGAGCTCTCACGCTCATCATCACCCGCATGCTAAGAAAACAGCCATCAACTTTGGAGAAGTGTCTCCGCGGAAGCAATCGGCTTTTAATAACTCCGGCTTAAGTCCCTTGGCAGCCAACACGTCACCTCATGTGGATAAACGAAAATCCCCCAGTAAAAAGGTGCGATCACCTCAGAATCAAAACCAAGGCAGGCAGCGGGGCTCTAACCACCCAATGGTAGTGATTCACGAATCTCAACCGTCGTCTTCGCCGGCTATCGAATGTGCCAAACGCTTACGCACTCTGATAGACCAGGAAAGTGTCCGGGATGCGACGGATACCAAGGCGGGAATTCGAATCATTGCACAGGCCAAACAGAAAACCCCAACGCCACCCTCGATTGCCAAAGTAGAGGTGGAAAGCCGGGAGGGAAGTAGAGAAAGTATTTCATTACTGACACCGATTAAAATGGATCTGGATCAATCTGAGGATGAAATGGAGCCATTGCACATGAGCGCCGGAGGAACACCGCAGCATGTGATAACCACACAATTTGATAGTGATGAAGATTGCAAGCTAGACGTGGTTGCATCACTGGCCAGTGGCAGTAGTTCAGAAGTTCGTGGCCCGGTAGCTCTAGAACCCGCAACGCCCAGTACATCGTCAAAATCCCAGAGTAGCAGTTTTGTTTCAGCTCCCTGGACTCGGGAGGAAGACAAAGTGATTCTAATCGAAATGAAATTGGGTGCGAAGGATCGGGAGAAACTTATTAAACGGATGAGCGCCAAGCTCAAAAATCGTACTATAGAAGAGTTGCGTGGAAGGCATCAGTTCCTTATGGATTTCTTGTCCAAGCTTCAGGGGAAGTAGATGACTATGCCTGTTTCATAAACTGTAGAAACCTATTTAATTTAAGCCTGAATAGAATATTATAAAGTATTTCTTGGAGCGTATGAATGAATGCTGAAATTTAGAATGCAGAAGTGTATTTGATAATCGATCAATATAATGTATAGAATTTTATTTTAAGATTAAAAGTAATAGTTAAAGTTAAGCAAAACGTCAACTATTTTTCAAAAACTGTACATACGCATAAAAAGTAAACATTGAAAAGTTGTTTTGTCAAATCAAACTATTATTCTGAAAAAGTTCAAAGGAGTTTCGAGCAAGGAAATAATCACATTTTTTTCCAAAATGGATCAATATGAGATGAGAAAGTTCGATTCCGCTACGATGGATGAGCCCGTGGATGGATGGCTCTTTTGCGTATTGGGCGCTTGTTCCGCCATTATATTTTCCACACTGGGAGCTGCCTATGGGACTGCAAAGGCTGCCGTTGGTATCTCAGCCATGTCAATAAAGCATCCACATCTGATCATGAAGGCCATCATCCCAGTGGTTATGGCCGGGATTATTGCTATTTACGGCCTGGTTATTGCGGTCCTTTTGGCTGGTTCGCTTACCAAAATTTATAGCGGCTATAAGGGATACCTGAACCTCAGTGCCGGCCTGGCCGTTGGCATCTCTGGACTGGCGGCAGGCGTCGCCATTGGAGTTGTGGGCGATGCAGGTGTTCGGGCCTCTGCCCAGCAGCCCAAACTTTTTGTATCTGTCATTTTGATATTGATATTTGCCGAGGTGTTGGGACTCTATGGTCTTATAGTGGCCATTTATTTGTTTACCAAATAAATGTTGCATTGTTTGTGGCTTTCCATCAGAACCGGTTTTCTTTGAATGTTTATCCAGTTGGAAACTCTTTAGATGCATTCAATTCCTCATCACAGTTCAGTTCCATTTAAAACCTCGATGCGTTTACATCGTCCTAGGATGCACCTTCAGTATTGCCTTATTTTTGCCTTGATGTGTCTTCTCTTAAGCCCAACTGGGGCTCAAGAAAACACTAATCCTGCAAATAAAACCCGCATAAAAATACCGTTGAGGAGGATGCTAAGAAACTTACACAAGGACCCTAACCAGGGAAATGGTACAATGCACATAGTTATCCACAAGGTTGCGCCAGGAGATGCCTACTACAAGGTATTCGATGGAAACGAGACGGCAGCCAGGGGATTCACCAATAAGATTTGGAATCGTCTATTGAATCGCTACAACACAATGCTAATATAATTTATTAAATGTAAATAAATTAAAGACTAATAAATATTTTAAGTAATTATAATGAAGCTAGAACTAAAGATGGACTCCTCATCCGAAGCAGTGTCTTTGGTGTGTAGACAGGCGCTGGATCTAGTGGTGAAAACCTCCGGTTCCTGTCGGCAGTGGTGTCCCTCTGCCTCCTCCTCCTTGACCATAGTGAACGTGCCGATAGCCTTGCAATGAGCATCGTTCCTGCACCCGGAATCACTGGCCCAACTCTCACACCCGCATTGGGGAGCCTCATCCGCCGGCAGATGCTGGGGTGACACACTGCTGACCACAGCTCCTCGCTCCTCCGCCAGCATCCGCTGACGTCGATGGGCTAGGAAACGTTGCCAGCTCCGAAGCATTGGCCGGATGCAGCACAATCCTAGACAAATGTCCGAGGTGCCCTTCATGCACAGGAAAAACTCTGGCATGAAGGAGGGATTGATGACGGCGTAGACCACAATATTCAGAGACAATTGCAGGGCATTCAGGGTGATGCATATCACCTCTAGTTGCTCCATCAAACCCTCATTTACTTTGTTGGTATCTCCGCCAAATATCAAATTCAAGGAGCTCTTCCTGGAGGTCATGTGAGCAGGAAGTTCTCCAATCAAGTAAAGTGTAATCACTATTACAATACTTATGGTTAGTTTCATTTGATGCTGAAACAGGGGATTAGCTATAAAAAATCGACATTACTTAAAGTATTTAAATCCCTACCTGATAGCGCTTGGAAGTGGTGAGAGAATTGGCATTATTTCCACCCGATTGGTGACATCTCTGGCTCTGCTTCGTCCATTTGCGAAAGGCTATGATGATGGCCATGTTGCCAATAACCAAGAATATGGCAGGCATTAGGGCCAACAGGACAAAGGTAAACCAGTTTTGAACTTTATAAAAACTGTTAAATAAAAGAACTATTAGCCAATGCTTTACTTATACGAGTCCTGACCACTTACAAGGAAAAATAGAACTGCGTGACATGGCAAGTTCCATCTCCATCGACGTAGAAAACAAAAAAATAAGGCATATTAACCACCACGGATATCGTAATCACTGTGGCAATCATATAACGAGCCACCTTGCGCCGACAAAATCGTGGAGCTCCGTTGGTTTTCTTTATACTGGACAGGTAGGTGAATCGATCCAAGCTCAAGCAGGCCAAGATAAGATTGGCTGCTCCCGTGCTGATGCCAAAAAGTGGCGTCTGCCATTTGTAATCATATTCGATCCATGAAGGACTGGAGTAAAAATAGCTTCTGGACAAGGCAGTCATGGTTATGAGGAAGCAGGAGATGCAGTCCATCCAGGAGAGGGCAGCCAGGTAGCTGAAGGACGAGGGTGTCATCTTGGGTCTCATGAAAACTACGGCGTTTATGAAGTTTGTGCAGAGACCAAACGAAGCCAATGTGGGTACAGCCAGTCCGTAAAGTACAAATATAGCCACAGAGGGCATTCTCCTTTGGAAGATGCATAAATCGCTGTGCTCCATTAACTCCTCCCGATCCGGTAGTCCCGGTAACTTCGGCCTGAGGTCCCAGTTAAAGTCTGGCCTGGTGAAATTCACGGCAAACATGACAGATGGAACGAATCGATGACTGGCTTTATTGACGGACTACTAACTGACTGCCTGACTGGAGAGGATGATTAGGCAGCGCCTGCTGGACACGTCTATCTAATTGTTGCAAATTCTCGATAAGATTATCTAACGCTAACGGACGCATAAATGTTAATTTGTACGCAATCAATGATAACGCCGCCACGCAAACCAACCTCAACATGGTCCTCTGATCGCCCTCGTCCCTTTATTTGTCTCTTACCTGGGTACGTACCTGGGTATCTAGGTGTATATATGGTCCGATATCCTCACATTCTCTAGTTGGTTGCATACTGAATGGGGCAAAACCAAAATTTATGATAATACTTGGGTAGGTTTCGGAAAAATAAGAAACATTTTCGATACCTTTTGAAAGTATTTAAGAACTAGCTTAGGAAAAAATCCTGAAATGAACCTCAAATATCTAAAAATAATTAGAGGAAATAAATAAAAATATCTAGAGTTTTTCCCAAAATGGCTACTCACTGTTATCGATCTTGTTATCGTTTTTAATTTATATCGAAGAAAATAGTCCGCCATGATGGAAAATGGCTTTAGGACTTTAGAAAGGTGCTAGTATTCCAAAACCCCCAATCTCCTATCACATAAACACATATTATTTGGAGACTCAGATGTATTTAGTATTTTTATTTACTCTCGGTTACTCGTAATGTGTAGTGTGTGTGGTTTATTCAAAGCCATTTTGTTTGATTTATTTGTGTTTTTCTGTCTGTTTCTGTTTGGCTTGGCTCAATAAATTATAGATTACTGGTACAATCAGTTGTTGGGGCCTGTTTAAATGTACATTCGTATATGTACGAATATAGCAAGGTCTAGAGTTTCGACTGATTCCACAAGAGGTTTGTGTATGAATTTAGTAAATGTAAAAATAGTTAGTTTTTAGTTTCATTTTCGAGTTCGATCGAGAAGTTATTCGCTTTGGAAGTTTTGATATCGTGTGGTATTATATCTCTAGCTGAATATCGTATCTGTTAAGAGTAATTCACACCGATATATTATAGATATAAATAGATATATGTGTATATTCTATTTGTTTTTGTACTAATTTTAAGTTAATATGCAATAAAAATACATACGTATGAGATTTTGGTTTAAAAAATGACCATGAAAATTATCAAAATTACATTAATACATTATGCCTTGTAAAAATGTCGACTCTAAATAAAATATTCTTGCAGTTAAAGTCCTACCAATATGCATTTTTTTAATATGTATATAGTTTGATAATAAAAATGAATTTCTTTCAAATTGTAATATTTTCAATATTCGAACAGACTTGAAAAATGTTTCTTCTTTTATTTTAGTTGTCATAAAATTCATTAAAGTAATTCAGACACGCATACACATCTAAAGATTTATGTTAATTATGTTTTCAATTTATTGTTAAAAATACGAGCAAATATCTTCTTCACTTTCGGGCTTCCCCCTCGGGTTGAACATCCTTCGAGTGCTTCTCATCGTCCTTGTGGTTGCGATTCGAGTATATCTTTTGATCTACTTTGTTGACTTAAATATAAGTTTTGATTTCAAATTGGAGAGGTAAATTAAACGTTTTAAATGCTTCGAGTTCGGAGTTACATATTATTCATTATATTTGTAATTGTATGCAGTTAATTGTATTAATTCAAACTACTTTTAAGCTAAATATTCCGCTCACTTTACCAATTGTTTTTTATGATATATGTGTATTTTTTGGAATCTTTGTTGTGCCCTATGCAGTTAGCTTGGCTAAAAATTCCGATCCCAACCGACAGTCCGATCTGTCAGTATCGTTTTATAATTATATATTTTCACTATAAATATGCGTAGCCTCGTTTGGCAAGAATTCTTTTAAGGTTTCTTCTATGAGAGAAAGATAGCTACGAGAGGCACAAAAGCTTAGCTCGGCTGGCGCTAATTTTGGAAATCGGTCTAGGCTATATATGTATATCCGTTGACTATAGTTTCACATGCTTATAGTAGATTGTCTGTTCAACATAGTTAGTTGTTAGCATCTAGATTCCAGTTTAGGTACTAAAGTTTCCAACTCAAGAACAATCTCAGAATTCTCGGTTAGGAGCAAATAAATTTTTAGTTATTACTTTTACAGATTTAGTATTAAGTATTTTCTAAGCTTAACTTATTGCTATGCAATTTGTTAGTTATGGTACATTGAGACTCTATGCCAGCTTCATATATAGACGTGCTATATATAAGTGTGTTTGCAATATTCCTTCCTCCTTTTCACTTCTCTTTATTAAATCAAAAAATTTCAAATTAGCCTACGCACACATTTATAAATTAATGGAATTTAAAAGTACCTCATCTATGATATTTACGCTTAAGTATTGAATATGATTAACAAAGATTAATTTCCTCCGTTTCTTTATTTTTGGCAAACTCACCTAAACGCGTTTTCGATTTGATTATAATGCCGGGGCGAGCACTACAATCCAATGACGTTTGAACCTGGACCAAAACTTCAAAATCCACTACGATCGTATTATTCCATCGCATTAACTATTTAAATTAATTGATTTGCTACAAAAACACTCAGATATTTGCTAAAAAGTTAACTCTCAAATAGAAGGTATTTAAATGCTAAAATTCTTTCGGAAATATGTTTATAGCTTTTTGGAAACAGCTTGAAATTGGACAGAATCGATAGAAGTTCTACGCAGAGTGAAAGGACATCATTGGGTTAATGCTATAAGGTTTGTGGTTGAAAATGATACTTTTTATTGCTTTCCATTTTGTTTGGCTTTACGATGAGACTTGATCTTGAACAGTATTCGAATATTTCATAACTAAAGCTCTGTTTCACAGTAACTATCTCTTACAATTAACTCAAAACTTAACAATTCAATAAATATATAGATACATTTAAACGAAGAAACTTAACAAAGATTAATTGTATACACAACAAGATGTCTTTTTTGCATTACCAAAGTAGTTAGTAATTGATATCAAAAGAGACTTAAGGGACACAACTCGCAGCATGGAAATTTGGTTTGATCTGGGAATCAGGAAGGGGATTTATGGGCTAAACACATATTCCGGATTCATGTAGGAGAAGCCAACGAATTCCGACTGATCTAGGTTCATCATGAACACCTTGTCTGTGGGCGTCAAGTCTGTTTTCTCTGATGTGAACTGCTTGTCAAAGTTGGACACATCCTTGCGGTGTTTCTGGAAGATATTTTTGTTTAAATTTAAATACTATACAGAGAGTTATCTTTCTATACTTACGATTTTCGGCTTAAAAGGTGGCTGTACTTCGCGATTTTCTATTTTCTCCCAATCTATGCGCCTGAAGAAAGGATGCAAGCGCACATCTTCTTCGCCAGAGGATCCACAACCCAAACGCTTATTGGGCTGTTTAGTTAGGAACTAAAAAAAGGGAATTATTAATTAAATAGTTTAAGTTTTTCAGCTTAAAAAACCTACGCCCTTGCAGGCCTCTTTGGCCTCCTTGCTTAGGCTCTTCGGATAGGAAACATTGTGATCGGTGATGGCTGCAAAGAGCTCCTCTTCATCCTCGCCATCGAATGGAGGCTGACCCACTAGCATTTCGTAAAGCAAAACGCCGTAGGCCCACCAATCCACCGATTTACCATAAGGTTGATATAAAATAATCTGGAAAAAATAGGACACCCTCTAATATTTTGACTTTAAAGTATAATAATAATATCCTACCTCAGGAGCTATGTAATCTGGAGTTCCGCAGAAGGTCTTTGTTGTCTTGTCACCTACAATATTTTCCTTGCACATGCCAAAGTCAGCTATCTTGACGTGGCCATCGGCATCCAAAAGGACATTATCCAGCTTCAGATCCCGATACAGTATGCCCTTGGTGTGTAAGAAGAAAAGTCCAGCTGCAATTTCGGCGGCATAGAATCTAAAAGATAGAAAAATGGGAAAAGTACGTAAATCTCCATAAACTAAATTTAAGCACTAAATTTTAAAAAGTTTGGCCCCAGTCGAAAGCTATATATTTGCCAAAAATCATCCGATTCTTGAGCGGAATACCTTAAATGTAGATCGATTCTCCATAATTCTGCATCAAAATCTAAGCACACGATTTTTTTTTATGTTTTTCGTCAAATTTTCTGCACGACCCCCTGCCAAATGTGGAAAGTGCTGGGGGAGCACATTTTGGCCCACAGCGTTGGCTATATCTTAGCCAAAAATCATCCGATTCTTTATCGGAACACCTTAAACGATTTTTAGATCGATTCTCCATAAATCTGCTTCAAAATCTAAGCACATGATTTTTTTTAAATTTTTTGTCAAAATTTCTGGACGACCCCCTGCCAAATGTGGAAAGTGCTGGGCGAACACATTTTGCCCCAGAGCGTTGGATATATCGTGGCCAAAAATCATCCGATTCTTGAGCGGAATATCTTAAACGATTCATAGATCGATTCTTCAGAGATCTGCATCAAAATCTAAACACATCATTTTTTTTTAGATTTTTTATCAAATTTTCTGGACGACACCCTGCAAAATGTGGAAAGTGCTGGGTGAACACATTTTGGCCCACAGCGTTGGCTATATCTTTGCCAAAAATCATTCGATTCTTGAGCGGATTACCTTAAACGATTCGTAGATCGATTCTCCATAAATCTGCATCAAAATCTATTAATCTAAGATTTTGGTGGCTATATTTCAATAAAAATATAAATATGAGACTTACACAGCCACTGGCTCCTTGAATTTTCCAAACTGTTGAATTTGGAACATCAAATCTCCCCCGTTTACATATTCCATCACAAAGAATAAACGATCCTGAAAAGTTGAATTTAGTTTCTGTAAAAAATTTCACTTAAAAGTAAAATAACTACCATTGTCTGAAAGCAGGAATGCAATTGAACCAAAAATGGTGGCTTCTCGCCCAAGGCCAGGACACGTTTCTCGATCATGGTACATTCCACATCGTCGTCCTGAATGATCACATCCTTCTTGAGTATCTTAATGGCATACAGCTCCTCGCTGCCTTTCCGTTCGGCGAGTAATACCTGAATATTAAGAAAAATGGTAAGATTTCCGGAAATTTTTAGATTTCTGTGGTATATTGCCTTTCCAAACGACCCCTTGCCCAGGACTTTGATGAAATTGAAATCCGTGGCCCGGATCATGTCCTTTTTGGACTGTGAGTGGGTGTTTGTATCGCTGCGCATCACCAAAGGCTTCTTCTGAGATGGCTTCTGCTTGAGCTTCAGCAAGTCCTGCTGGTCATCAGCACAGGGCACATTATAGTATTCACCCTCCTCCTGGGTGAGCAGCTTGAACCAGCCGTTGGTGGGATTCTTGATGATCTCTGAGATCCCGAAGGACAGGGCACCCATGAAGTCATTGCGAGAGGTGCGATCCCAGTCCCAGACCTCGATCAGGATGCGGCGGTCCTTGTCCTCGGGTTTTAGGTCACTAAGAACAACATTTTCGGTTAAAATGTATTTGTTGGAACTCTAATATCTACATACTATGTTATAGTCTCATTCCAAACAGGATTCAGGCAAGCCTTAATAGTGCGAGTCTTCTTCTTGGACTGATCCTTGTCATCGGGAATTAGCTTCACCTTAACGTACGGATCGCTGAGTCCATTCGGATCCATGGGTATGAGATTGCGACCCTCCTTAACTGAAAGACAAGGTGGTTAATAATGTCGACAGCCAGGCAGTCAATTAAAACCCATCCTGGCTGAGTGCAACATTTGCAGCACAAAAGCCTCTACGGAAATTACGTGAAATATGCTTCTAAGCACGAACAAAGGACGGTGTCCTGGGGGATAGTCCTTTGTTCGGAAACTGCATTCCAGTTTAGTATTCATTATGTGGCATTTGCGGCTAACGAAGGAGAACGAATACAGAGAATTTCCTTAAGCGCGCAGAATGAATTAATGCAAATCGTAAGCAATTTTCCCAGAAGCCCAAAGGACCTGAAACTTTCACTTGCAAAGCTTTTCGCTACTGAATAAAATACAAAAAAAAAAACAAAATAAAATAAAACCAAAAAACAGGAAACGAAACGAATGCCGATGGAACGATGAGGAGAAATCCAAGTACAAAGACGGAGAAGATGTAACATTTTAAGCGTGTTGCTTGAGAAACTTTGCGGCTTCCCAGGGCATAATTTTTTCCACTTGCCTTTTTTTTTTTGTATATTCTGTAAACTTTTCACCCACTGGCACCCCCCCTAAGGCATTCGTGGGAAACAAAATATACAACAACAACAAAAAAAAGCAAGAAACTTGGGCCGCAATGCCATAATTGGTTACAATGCTTAAGCGGCTTAAATTTGTACGGGTATTCCCCTGACTTACTCTGGACAGTTAAGAGATTCTCCTTGACATTGATCTCGAGATTAATGCGTCCTCGCCGCTCCGTGTGATCGCATCCGCAAAGACTGGGCACATTTTCCTTGCAGCGGGCATGAACGTTCATGTCACATGCTGGATAACAAAATATTTTTACAAAAATATTTCATTTAAATATTTGTAATTTTGTGTTTTTAGTTTTAAAAAACGGGAGTTTAAGAGACTTGGTTAGTGGGATTTGATAGGCATGACTTGGATGTTAAAGTGGAACACAGATTAGGACTCTCACACGCACACACACACAGACTCACTTTGAGGTACAGTCACGCTCACACACAATAGAGTACTTACCTCGACTGGCGGGAAAAACTAAAGTTTACCTGTGGAAATGCAGTCGACTAATCCGTCCAGCGGCTGCTGCTCTCCCTTGCAATCCAATCAGTAAATAAACCATCAACCCAACCACCCATCACCCATTACCCATCTGCCATGAGGCATCCTTTCGGGATTAATTTTTTTCAACCTCGATTTGGACTCGCCGGCGGAAATTGACAAACTGTTGCACAGCGGCAGGTCTGACATCGACAAGTGGCAAGCGTTCAATTGGAAATTATTTGCTAAAATCGAATTGCGATTCATTTTCATGGAATACGTTTTGTTTTCAATTAAAGCACTTTGCCCATCATCATCAAGCATCAGTGGGCATTATCCTGTTTGCGCTGATTGCTTCAGTTTCCTTTCACATATCCGCTTTCCCGCCCCTTCCTGCCTCCCCCTGTTGCTCTCTCCTTCCTTCTTACACTTTCCGATTGTTTCTTTCTTGGCCACATTCCGCTTTGGTCAAGTGTAAAATTACTTTTGGAAGGTCTTAATTTCATTGAGGCGCACTGTGCGTATACGTAATGCTCAGATCCCGCTGCGTATACGTGATATTTAAGTTACGTTTGTGGAGGGCCCTGTGGCATGTCGGTCAGCACAGAATGTGCAGAAATGTGTACACAAAATGGGGAAAAAGGGTTTTCCTTTTGGCGTGGGTAAAAAAAAAAGAGAAACAAAAATAAATAAAACAACACCGAGCTAAAAAACAAACAGATATGAGTGCTGGGCTGGCTGGTGCTGGTGTATACTACATGTGTATACTCATAATATGGCCTCCATTTTTTCCATTGAATGCCTGCATATATTTACATTCCCTTCTCGTTTGAATATACACTTTTTTTGGGCAAATAAACAAATATTTTTGCAGTTATGCGGATCAGTGAAAAGCTTTACTCGAATAGTTGTTGAAAATAAAGAATTTTATCTACTGCATCTACTAATTTTGAAGATATTCCTTTAACTCTTCTTTCGAGGGCTTATAGTCACCCCGATGAAGTGTACCTTTAACAAAATCATCATTGTCTTTGAAAATGGAACAATTCTCTACATCGTCCAAAACAAGACATAGTTATAGCTACGAAATGTTTATGTTTATTAAACATAATAACTCAAAAGATGTCTTAGAAAAGCACTTTTATATCTTGAAGACATTGGCAATCAATTCACTGGAATTCCTCCACAGTTAAATCATTTTATTGAATGTTTTGTTTAACAAATCAATTTACTACAGCAAGCCTCCAATGTAAAGACAACATTTTAAAGGTCTGGAGCAATTGGTGCCAACGCGAACATAGTTACAGGGAGTTTTCTGGGGTATGCAGGCTCCATTTGGGCCACAATCTAGAAATAATATGTTATTAGGTTTTCCGATAGTCTATGAAACTTACAAAACTCATCGTCATTCTGGCCGTAAGAGCCAATTAGAATTAATGACAAAAAAGCAAGAAAAAAGATGAAATTTAGTCTCTCTGACATTTGCGGTTGCTTTAAAAAATAAAATGAGTAAAACTCTTACCATAAGCTACAGCTGCGGTTTAATTCAATCAAAAACGGTAATCTAAGCATACAGAATATAGTTTTAAGGACATTGTTTTAGTTTAATATTTTTTGTATGGAATTTGGCTGCAACATTTGTCTTCCTTCTTACAAATGGGCTCAACCAACGTTATAGGTCGCCTGCATTTCACTTTTTTTGGCAAACAAAGTCCATCTTCACAACCTTCGAAGGGATAAGGTTTTCGGTGAAGTTAAGGGAACATTTTAAATAAGTTTATTAAATATACGAACGTCTCAAACGAAATCCTTGGCAAAAGTCTAACAATAGTAGAACAAAAGCCGCTATGACAAACTTTTGGCGAATTAACATCTTGTCTGTACAATAATATGCATTAAGCAATTTTTTCATTTATTATAATACCCTCAGACTGTGAAAAACTATTTAGTTACGGTTTTTTAACTTCTTGAACGTTTTATTGATGCTAAAGCTTGCCGTGACTCTTCATTAGTCTACATTCCATTAGTTTCAAACGACAATGTCGTTTCAAGGACATTGTTTTAGTTTAATATTATTTGTATGTAATTTGGCTGCAACATTTGTCTTTCTTCTTACAAATGGGCTCAACCAACGTTATAGGTCGCCTGCATTTCACATTTTTTGGCAAACAAAGTCCATCTTCACAACCTTCGAAGGGATAAGGTTTTCGGTGACATTTTAAATAGTTTATTAAATATACGAACGTCTCAAACGAAATCCTTGGCAAAAGTCTAACAAAAGTAGAACAAAAGCCGCAATGACAAACTATTGGCGAATTAACATCTTGTCTTAACAACAATAGGCATTAAACAATTTTTTCAATTATTATAATACCCTCAGACTGTGAAAAACTATTTAGTTACGGTTTTTAAACTTCTTCAACGTTTTATTGATGCTAAAGCTTGCCGTGACTCTTCATTAGTCTTCTTTCCATTCGTTTCAAGAGGAGCCCAAGAAATTATGGGTGTTACTCCAATGAGTTCGTTTCCCAAGCTGATTTATTTCATAAAATATTTCTTACAAGAAAAATACATGAACATTTAAAATCTTTGGTATTTAAACCTATTTATCAACCCCTTTCTGGAGTCGCGGACCATATCTCAGCACACCACTTACATATGTATGCATTTTTATGTTAGACTGCAAGGTATCAGTGTGGAACCATGTTCTTTATCTCTTATTCCCATGGTTTGACCCTTTTAGTTCTTTCTTTGCAATTATCATTTAGAATCTTGTTTAATCTTTGAACAAAGATTTTGCAATGCCCTGGAACCCTACTATTGCTTAAGTCGCACTTAGTAAGGCAAAGGGGTTCCAAGTCAGGCTGAGAAGGACACACTTAAAAAGAAAATGTTTTTAACACATACCTACAACCTTAAATTTTAAATGTAAAATATACTTATTTGACTACTTTTCCCAAACAAAAGTAGGACAAGAACAGCAGTGAGGAACTGGTGGTGACTTATCATCATGGCGACTTTTCACGATATCTGTTTAGATTTTTCTTTAAGATTTGTTTATATATGCTTTGTGTTCTAATTTATTTAAATTTTAAACTATAAAAAATCATTTAGTTCTGGAAATATCTGTAAAACATTGTCAAGGTATAATTTTCAGCATTGTTTGCCATTTCTATTGTTGCCCAAAAAATGCTGGGAAATAATTCGACTTACATCAATGAAATTCCAATATTTGGCAGAATGTTTCCAGGAACCAACCCGCAGACAAACACAGGCTTTCAAACAAAGCCAAACACAATCGCATAACGGTATCGGGCGGAATAACAAAACAAACGCAAACACAAACACAATCGAAGGCTCAAACAGAAATGGCAAACCGCACTGGCTATTGTACAGCCATCCACACCCCACCGCCCACCACAAATTTGCATTTTGCTGTCGGCCAAGTGCCTTTTCATTTGTATTTGTTTGGCATTTTCTTGGCCCGAAGTCTTCTTGAGCAGTGACGCGTAATTAAATTATTTGTTTGGTCCTTTTTATTTGGCCAAAAAGGTATGACATGTATTTCGATAGCCCCAGCCCAAGCAAATGGCTTGGAAAATTCTACGATAAATAGACCAGATAAAGATATTGCTTCAGGAAACAAACATTTGAAATTAGTAACAATCTATTAAGTGGCTTTGGCCAACTAGCATGCATGTGCGAATTGAGGCAAACAAACAAATAAAGTGAAAATTAACAAGTTCTTAAGGATGTCAACACAAAAATTAAAAAGAAAAGCAAATGCAGGCCTTAAGTGCAGGCAGGTGATGGCCTGAAAAGCAAACTGAAAGGGTAGGAAAGCGGAAAAGCTACAACAAACAACTTGCTCAAGTGTGCGAAACACTCATACACACACGGACACAGGTACACACCCTCACACACACAAAGACAAGTGCACACTTAAGCTGGAACAAAGCACTGCTAATTGTAAATTGCAACAATTCTAAAAACTCTGCGGCAACGCCGCCAAAAATGCAAATGACAGGCAAAATTTTCGCCAAAAACAAGTATGTATGTACAACCAAAACACAAACGAAAGAGACGGGCTATGGGTCCGAGAAAGAGAGAGGAAGAACTGTTGGAAATTACCTCGACACTTGAGACCCTTGTGCGTGATGCCGTGCAACAGAGACCCACAATGATCGCAGAACATCGGCGATAGGAAGGCCACATTCTGCCATTTGTGGGGCATTTGATGGGCCTGGCCGATTTCGAGTTTGATTTGGAAGAGAAAACTAATGGAAAATTAACGCAGGGCATAGGTATGTATAGAGGAATTAACGGGTTGCTAATAAATAGTTTCTATTATCTACACAAATAGGTGCAAAATCAATAATATAAACACATTAATCATGAGATAAGGTAGTATCACATATAATGGCCACAGTAAGCTGGTTTATACAAAAAAGTGTGTTTAAGTAATTTAACTAATAATCGTATTAAAGAAAAGTATATAAATTGTGAAGAATGTATTATTCAGATTGGGGAAAGTATTGCAACTTAAGAAGAATGTGGGAAGGCTTTGATTCTCTTTAAAATGCATTAAAATGAGTTTCGCTACAACATCCAAGATCAGTCAGTCTCATAAGCTAATTAAAGAGCTCTGGAAAACTTTAGTCTCGGACTAAAATCCCCTCTGAGAGTTGCGAAAAGTTCCATGGGGAAAATGCAAAGTGCAAATGTTTTCCGCCGCTGCTCGGGATTCGTGCTAATGAAATAAACGCGACGTTAATTGAGTTGCAAGTTGGCCGTCACATGTCACAAGCAGCTAAATCAAATATACAGAGGGGGACGCTGAGAGTTTTTTATGGGATGGAAGGTTGCTGGCAGGATAACATAAATATCCTTTTACGAAGGTTGAAGAGACAATTGCCACCTAATCCTTTTCAAGGAACTCGTACACACACGAGCGCGCCTTGAAACAAAGCAAGGCAACAAAAAATCAAGAGTATCTTTTCGACACACACGTGACATTGACGGACAACTTTTAAAGTTTTGGTTTTTTTTTGTGGGCCTGTGTATGAGTGGGTGGGTAGGATGGGGTGGTGTGGCACTTACTTTCCGGTGGCACTGTCACAGACATATGGCAGGCCCCGAACTCATCAGCAACATTTCAGGCTCACAGCCCAAGTTTTCGATTGTTGTGTTAGTTTGCGGTGGTGCTAGTGAGTTGCTGGTGGGTGGGTTTTTGGTTGCTGTAAGCAAGGACATTTGATAGCATTATGCGCATGCATGAGCATCCGCCGAGTAGTTCACACACACACAGACTTACATTCCTTTCTCTCGCCTTTTTTCGGTGGGGGTACTGGCAATTTGTTGTTTGTCTCTGCCAAGGTTCAACAGCTGCTCAGCCATTAATATCCTTTGCTGCCAAAAGACAAACACCAACAGAAAGCAAACAGACTCGCAATCGCATACACACGCGCGCCTGACCTTGGCATCGGCGGAACGTAGAAAAAAAAATTGTTGCATACTTTGGGGGGCATGCTCAAGGCCTCCAGCGGGCTGGCTTGGCTGTGGGTGGCAAGTGGGCGGATTTGTTTGGATAAAATGCAATCAAATTGAAGGTAAACTTTCGTATGTGTATGCCCTTCAGTGGGGCACGATTTTTGAGGGTCGTGGGACCCTGGATAGCCACAGGTGTTAGCGAAACTTACGAAGGTTGCAAGTTGCACGTCTCCAGAAAAATATATATGTTATTCATTTTATTGTTATCATCACTGTATCAGGCCACATGAAGAGCTCGTAAACAAACGGGCCCCCCCCATCAGACACTTTCACCAATAAATCTTTTTCCGCACAACACTCTCACACCCGCACACGCATGTAGATAAAATTTCATTTGGCTAACACGCCCCCATTTGACGCCTACTTATTTGCCACGTGCCAGCGCAAAAAAATTTGAAAAAATATTTCCAGGCGAAATTTATCACAGAATTCCTTGCGTTGCTGGCTGTCACCTAACAAATTTGTGCCCCCTGCTCCTGCCACTGCCCCTGCCACAGCTCTCTGCCTCAAACCACTTTTCCATATCGTGGTATCATCTAGCTGGATGGATGGCGGCAGCTTCCATTACTCCATTGAATGTAATTTTTGGTATATAAAACGCCGTCATATATACATACCTATATATGTATGTACTATAACTGCCAGCATATTAACAACTGATGCCCGATAACAAATTGGGGGTATGGGTCGTCAGGCGTTGGCAAATATAAATTGCCATGTCATTTATTCCGACAACCCAGATAAGAGTCGTTTGCCGGGTGGATTCCCTCCTGAATGTGGTCAGGGCCAGTATCTCTCTTCCTATCGGATGGTTCTGATAGACTTCCATGAGACCAACTGCATTCCGATTTCAATCTTGGCTGCCAAGAAGGCAATAAAATATTTGCAATCGATTTGCTCTTAGCTTTTTTGTATGTTGGCCAAAAACAGGTGTGAATCTGAGCCAAAATTGATTTGCCTATTGCCTTCAAAATAAATTTGATCCGATTTGAAGCAAAAGCAATAAAGTGCCAAAGATGTTGTCGCCCAGAATGTCTCTCCCAGACAATGGAAACAGTCAAGCTTATTGGGCCACGTTGTATTCCTCCCACCATACACACACCAACCACACCCACCCACCCACATGATAAGAGCTAGTATGTGTGCGTAATTGATAAGAGGGGTGGTGAGGTGGAGATGGAAATTGTAGGCAAATTTAATTCAAGGTTTCCATGGACAGAGTATCACACTTGATGGGACAGACGGATGTGACATTTGAGTCTCAAATTCGCAGAATATTTGCCTTGCTTTTTGGTATTTACACTTGGCTTGCTCTAATTAAGACAGTTGCCATGGCTATAATGTGGCTATAACATGGCCTAAACCAAATTCCTGAAAACTATTTACAAATGATGGTAGGAAAAGGGTAGCATTTAAACTATAAGGTATTTTCTTTATAATTCTATAGAACAAGCAAGTGCCTGGTAAGCAGGTGCTCTCGAATGTAAAAAGGATCCTAGGCAGCTTAACGAGAATGACAATGTTTTCCCAAAATTGCAAGTGTCCTGGGGCACAACCTCGAAACTTTTTATCTGCAGTACATTCACAATTTGTACGTGGGTAGCCAAAAAATACATTAAAATTATATTTATATCAGTAGCGGCGAGTCGCACAGAAATTTCTATACAAATGACAAGCATTGTTTGGCAACTAAGTTGGCCTTCCACCCAATTTTCTGTGCGGACTCCTCGACGTATCCCTGGCATGTGCATAATTATGCAAATGAATTGGTTGCAAAAGGACGAGGGAAAGTAGAGGAAAGTGTTTTTTCAGAGAGGGGGGAGGGGTGGCAATGGGGAGTCGGTGTGGGGGCTTGGTAGGGCTTGGTCGGTGGAAACACGTGCCACACACAGAGAAAACTTTCAGTGCGGTTCGGTTACGGAAAAGTGAAAAGCAAGCAGGCATTGTACAGGAAACCGAAAACAAAAAAAGAAAACCTTTTTATTTTGTGGAGGGAAAGGAGAAAGTTGAAAGTAGAAAGGGTTTATCGACATATTTACAAAGGTGCGCCCTGCATATATACACACACATATATATGTAAGTATATGTATTTATTTGTAGGTAAAAAACAATTTAAATAATTAACTTTTTGGCCTGTAAAAGAAAGTTTTTCCCGTTCATGTTGTTATTGTTGTTGACCTGGTCAAATTGAGTTTAAAATTTAATTCCCACAAAAACACACAGCCACTCGCACACACATTATCATCATTATTTACACTGTCAGACAGGGTATTCGGAAAAGGATTAAAAGTTAAGTGAAAGAGAGACGCGAAAAAAGTTTTGTGATTAGAGATAGAAAGATAGAAGGTAGCGGGTTGAGGTCTGGGGGTAACACTTAAGGGTTAAAGAGCACAACTTTGGAGGTTTTTTTAGGGGTTTTGGGGTTACCTGAGCATTTGAGACCCTGGTGGTAAATGCCATATAGCAGGGAACCACAATGATCGCAGAACGTGGGTCCTGCATATGTGAATGGCTCGAAATTGTGTTGAGTTTTTGGTGAATCCTTTATTTATTTTTGAATTTATTTTTTTTTCAATAACATTTTCAATATAGTTTTGTTGTGGTTTTTGGTGCGTGGTTTTCGTGACAGCGTGAGTTGGACAGCGAATTGAGTTTTTGGTTTTGATTTTGGTGGATGCACACATGGAAAAGAATATAAAGTTTTTTTTTTTCATGGTAAATCAACAGAGCACAATGACAAAATAACAACTTCTCTCCTTATCCGGACTGTGAACATAACAAATGACAAAATCTACTTAAAGTTAGTATTACTATCGCTACTCAAGTTAATTTGAAAAGTCCTTTCTTCTTGCTGTGCATTTTCCATGAGCGAGGGAGTAGCTTGAAAAATCTGCTGAGAATTCCTTATGCTCGGGACATAAAAATCCATCTGAGACCTCATATTTTTAGCCCAGGCTAGGAGCATATTTTCTCTCGGACAGACGGCCTTAGTGGGTTGCATGAATAAATACACAATGTGTATGCGGAAAAATCCAAATGACATTTTCCATAACCCACCAGGCTACTCGGCTACGGGCTACCGACTACAGCCGGCAGAGGGAAATTCGCATTCGCATTTTTAGAACGAGTCGTCTGCCTTAGACTGGCAAAGCAAAGTTGACAGCTGAGTCGGGAAACGAGGGAGACCAGGACATGACAGCTGGGACACTAAGGACACTGCTGGAGCGGACGGACGGACGGGCGGGCATAGCCGAAAATCCAAATGACAGTTTAATTTGACAGAGCCCACAAAGACTAAAAGCAATGCAAATAAGACCTGCCCCTACATCCTGCCACTCCTACACCGCTCGCAAATGGAAATGCATATTACGGAAATGTCAATTCACTTATGCACAACTATAACGGTATATATAATATATATCCTATTTAGCATATGTGCTTGTGCCCACTTACCGAATCGATGCCTTTATCCTTTCCAGGGCAGATGAAGGTGACATATTCGTGACAACGCTTGTGCACCACATAGGAGCAAACTGAATGTTGTAGGGGAAAATCGCAGAAGAAAAGTATTATATTTCAATTCTTTATTCCTTGGAGAGGTCGCCCTTACCTTGGCACTGAAATCCTTGCTTTCCGAAGCCCCTGGAAAACATGAAAATTAAGCAGAGAGAGAGAGTCAATTTGCATTCGTTCGTTTTTCCGTGGCATTTCTGACATTACGCCAATTAGCATAAATATTTAATTCGATATTAATCAATATGGCTCAAATGGGAGGACCGAAGCCCTGGGGTCTTTTCAATTTAATCAATATGGGAGTGCCGCCCACAAAAGGACTATTTAAATGTTGTTTTCAAAAATGAAATGCCACAATTAGGCTTTGTGGCTATTTATTTTCAGGCGAATGATGGGGGCTTTTTAATTATTTCAATTAATAATTTATGATAACTACACAAAGGGAAATTGAGCGATAATATCTACAAAGGGTATAATATTTTCGATTTTCCACTCTAAGGGAAGTAGCTTAAATTATTTTTATAATAAAAAGAAAAGTTTTAAAGGCCTCATTCCGGAGCAATGCTTAATTGTCGGATCCTGTTCTAGGTCTTAAATACTAGAACCTACGTGACTTGTTCTCACCATTATCCGGCCTTAGTGGCCTACCCTCGACCATAAATGACTTGACCACAAACCGCTTTGCCAGCTCCCAGCCCTTTTGGCCAAGCTTGCAATTTGGGGCAAGGCAAATTATTCACATGCACAGCCGGAAAATGCATGCATACGTTTTTATACTTTATACATATATATATTTTTTTTTAGTTTTGTTTATTAAAGAAGGAGCAAGTTTTGAGGCAACTTTTGCCAACTGCCAGTTGAATAAGTTTCAGCATGAATGGAGGCCAATGGAGACCCGTTTAAACTTTGCTCCGTTAAGCCCAAAGGATAGTTGATCCGATTAGGCTGTCGGCCATTGGACAGGACAATTCACACAAAATGGAGCGATTTGTGTGGCTTGTTTCATAATTTTATTTTGCTTCCCCAGTCGCTGGCTTTCAGCCCGTATTTTTCATTTAATTTTAATTCTTTTGTTTTGGCCAGGTTGTCTGTTCGTGGCTTTTTGCTGTTTTCTGGCTGTCTGTCGGTCGTTTGGTCTGCTTTTTTTTCGCCCCGTTTTTGTTTGCGCATCAAATGAAGTGAAAAAGCAATTTTCCCGCGCCTGCAGTTATACTATGATTCCATTTTCCACCCGGCTCTCGCTTCGCAAAAACAATATTTTTTCACTGCACCTTTTTTATGCTTTTCAATTTTTAATTAAGCGCATATTTTCCACCAGAATACCGAATAAAAAAAACTATTACCCGACAAGGAGATGGGTGGGGTTAAGAATGTTTGCATTTTGAGTTAATTAATCAAACCAAATGCCAAAAAGTGAAAAGGGAAAGGTTGAAAAGCCTGAAAGTTAAAGGTCTTACTTGGCTTGATTTTAATGCCCTAATAATTTTAATAAAATTATTTGATATTTATTATGACGTGCCACAAACATGGCAAATGTTCCACCTGCTGCCTGGCAAACGAAGGCGGGCGACACTTGGCCACCCCAAAACCCACTACCACCAACACCCAGATCTGGAGCCGAAACCACCCAATTTGAGCACCACCGCCAGTGGATCGACTACGTGCTTGCAACGCCTTTTTGCAACGCGCCCGGTCCGTGTGCGTCGTCGTGCCCCCAAAGGCCCCCACACTATTAATTAAAAGTCAACCCGAACTGTAACAGTGGCTGAAGTTGTTAATTAGTTGCAGGCGCCCCCCATCCGAAAACAGGCGTTCTTCCGAAGAGGGCGTGGCCAGTGGGGGGCAGGTATTGCTGTCAAAGCGCGTTAATTACGTGTAATAATGATGCAGTGGCAGAGTAGAGAGTAGCGAGGCAAGTACCAGGCCACTGTTGTTTTTTGTTGGCCTCCCCATTTAAGCGACTGCTATTTTTTGGAGGGTCGTTTTCGGCTTTCGGTTTTTGGTGGTGGGGTTTGGTGGGTTCGGTTCCCCAAAAACGAAAAATTCGGCTTCCGCCTTCTATGGGCATAGATCGATGATGTCGGCTGGTGGCGCATTTTAAACAGCAATTAATTTAATTATTGCTAAAATGTTTTTTTCCCCGACAATTAGCCAAAGAGCCGAAACCGAAACCGAAGCCGAAGTGGAAGCAACAAGCCGCGATGACGAAAGTCACCGCCCCGGAACAAAATGAGACAAGCCTAATAAATTGACTTGGATTTATGTCCCAGATGCCCAGATTCTCAAATACCGAGCGACTTTCCATATCATTCATTAGTCGCTGGCTTTAAATTGTCAACGCAACAGAATGCCTTGGCTTTGTGGCACTTTGCGGTGGCAGTGAGCCTCGCAGCCTCGTGTTTGTTTATTAAATATGAATTAATATCACTGGAATTGCTCGTCAAAGTGTCTGTGGTTAGAGGGCATCTCTGACTATGAATATAAAGTGCTGAATTAATTAATTTGTGTTTGGCCCAGGCCCACACTCCACTTCTCTCTGACTTGGTAATGGAAATTCAATAAGATTTCATTTTATGCTGCCAAGGATGTGTGTGTTGTGGAATTGAATTTGTTCATGAACACCCTGGCTTATGATTTTCTAGCACAAACATACATTCGATAAGCTACAGTTGATATTATAAATATTGTATTTTCTAGCTCTACTCCAAAACCATACAGATTAGAAATATACATATATTCTCTGAAATACCTACATCCAGGCATATCCCGACTGATAACCGCTGTAAAAATTGAAATCCTGTTATAGAATTTATGTTTTTCTTGCTTTTTTTTGGGGGGAAAGGTGAACTTAATGCGCATGAAATTGATTTATAATCCACGGGGAAGCAAGGCTCTAAGGCCAGGAAGTGACTACTGGGACTGTGCTGTCAGGACTACCAAAAGTAAACAGGTTACCCGACTTCACTTCAGTCTATTTTTTTCGTTGGCCCTCCTGTTCTGTTTGTTTTTTGTTTGGGGAGCAACAATGGATTAAGACAGATTTGGCTGGTTTTTCCTTAAATTAAATATTTCAGAGACTGTGTCCTGTTTCTGGTTACCTGAACAAACTGTAATTGAAGCTATTGTGGCTTTTATGGTTTTTCCAACCAAGAAACTATTTAAATTTTGTCTTAAAGTTTGTGATTTTTTAGCTAACCTAGTAGTGGGTAACATATTCTTGTTGCTCTATTTCTGTTATTTGTTCTGCCTTTGTTGCTCGCTTCTCTCGCCTTGTCAATAGACGTTTATCGATTCTGGCCAGTGATGTTATGTGGCCGCCTGTGTAGACCCACAAGTGCCACTGGCTGTGGCGGCAGGAGTGAACTATATGTGGTGAACTATACACATGCATAGTTATATGCAAAAGGTAGTAGGCACAATTTTGAGGAGCTTTGGAACATATATTTATGAAACTCACCATATAAAGTCCTTGCAGTGGGAGCAGAATGTGGGCTGCTTGAAGAATCGGGCTATGAAGCAGTGATCCTTGACATTAAAGACGTTCTTCTTCTTGAGGGCTCCTTTACGGAGGCGGGATTTCATTTTATTCTCGCCCACCGCCTCGTCTCCGACTGCCCCCGCCTGCTGGTGGGGATCCCCGTTGTTATCACTGCCCTCCGACATTTTTTGCTATTTCTCTTTTTTTTTTATTATTTATTTTTTAAGCTATATAGCTTCTTCTTTAGCTTGTATATGTTTTTTTTGTTGATTTTTTGAGTATTTTGCAGCTTTTACAAATCAGAAAGGTTCTTTAACTTGCTCACTTGTTGTTTCCACATTGGATTGTTGTTGCTGGACGCGCACACTTTGTTGCTTGTTACGTATTTCTTTCTGGCTTTGTGTTTATTGATTTTCAGCTCTTGTTATTGTTGTGTTGTTGGTTTTTATTAGGCCTTAAATGCCCAACCTCTAACGTTAATAACGATTGCAGGAAAGTAATAAAAAATTCAAAAACTGGACTTTAGAATCTCGCTTTAATTTGGTCAAAACCGATTTGCATAATTTTATTAATCGCACGCTCATTATAAGAACTGAATTCTTTCACATTTCCATTTGACGGGTATGTGGCATTTATTTAATTATTTTTCACTCGCGTTTCGCATCGATTTCAAATTGATTTTTCATTCTTATTTCTTAAAACATGCGCAGCAATTAAACAAAAATCAAGCAAATGTCAGCGACGGCGACGGACAAACAAGCTCATAATTAGCATTAATTTTAATTCGCCGACAGTTAATTATACAAAAGAATGAGAATTTTTGGCTGAGGGGGGCTAACAGGGCTAAAAGGGCTGCCAGAGGGCCTGCTGAACGGCAGCTAAATAATAAATAAATATTATAATTTTTCCCACATTGTTGAGTGGAGGGGGGTTGTGGGAGGAAGACCAAGCGTGCCAATAAAAAAGCGACATGCAAACGAAATAACTTTTATTTCAATTTTTTTGTTGTATTTTTTTGTGTTTTTTTCTGCTTTATTGAAATTTTTGCAATGCCAATTTTTGTGTGTGTTTCGCCAACTGACACGTTCTTGCTGGCCAGTGCTCTCACCTGAGCAGGTGGCTAAAAGCAGTGAAACGAATTGTGTTTACCCTAGAATAAACAAGGCATAAGCATAAAAATAATTAAAGCCACCACTGCGTATACGTGATATAGTTTGAAAATATTACGTATACGCACTGTAAGCCTGCAAAAGTCTTTTGTAGTAAAATGAATTTGTTTGCCAGCCCGCATGAGCCTGTTAGAGCCTACAACTTTCACTGCGATTGAAGTCACAATACATAGGAGCAGTGGCACACACAGAGCTACGGAATAAAAACCCACAAAGGACACACAGTTGTGGCTCTGTTACTTTTACTGAAAATGCGATTGTATTCGTGAGCGACAAGCAACAGTTACTATCATTTCCGAAGCACTTTTGCTCACTTTATTTATTTTTTGTGCCCGTCACGTTCCCCACACTCTTTTTTGTGTCGTTTATTTTTTATGCTTAATGGCTTGTATGGTTATGACCGCTTTTTTGTTACTGTTATGACTCGGTGGGTGTTATTAGAATTCACCTAGTATAGAGTACTACAGATTTATGGTTTCAAGCACATGTGAATGCGACGGCACAGCTACTTGGCTTTGGCTCTTTAAATCGTTGCTTGTTTACTTTTCGAACGATGCCACTCTTGCAGATGCCACACTTATAGATGCCACATACCATACACCACACGCACTCAAGACACGCGCTAAGTAGTACAAAAACAAAAACGGCAACTGCCTCGGCGGGCCAACCGAATTATTATGAGCAAGCCAGGCCAACCATATTCCTGGCAGTGAAAAATCCAAGTCCGTGGCTAAGTGTGGTGAATTTTCCTTCAGTTCTCTCAATTCCTTTCCCCTTGGGGTTACACAAGATTTCTTTTTGCCCGCACACACACTCGCACTCACACTTGTCGTTGTTGTTGGTGGAAAAGTAGGGGAAATATTCCCCAGGCTTGTGATTTAGCCTTTTTCGTTCTCAACGGACTTGGTCTATTGGTATTTTCCCCGGCACGTGCGCTCCGCTCGAGTCACAAACGCGTTCTGAACCGCCAAGTGCCTGTTTCTGAAGCGATATCTTTTCGTAGCGAGCTTTTGTGCGCTCTGTTAACTAACAGAGCCGGAGGCCTCTCGCACTGTTAGGCGCATTCGGACGCTTGGGGGTCGGACGGACTAATTTGCATCCCAGCCACAGCTGATTAACATAAGTAAGCAAACGCCAGAGGCCCTGGAGCCCGCCTTCGAAGTCGATGACGCTGTTGGCGGTTTCGAATCCGATCCGATCTGATCCGATCGCCGGATCGTCAGCGCATTTAGACGCTAATTGATTCCACTGAACGAAACTTGTTAAATGGCTGAGAGTCAGCCGGTTTTGGGCCGTCGCGTCGTAAGTCGTTGGACACCCAATCGCAAAGTCAAACAAGAAGTGAATTGAATTGGAAATCGAATACCCTACGATCTGTGACATATTTGATGGTATAATGTTTTATCTACTCTTTTAGGCTTGTGGTTTTTGGAACTATGAAGTCGATTTGCTTTTGTTTTAATTTTTATAAATAATTTTATTCAATAATAGCCCCCAAGCCTTTAATAGGTTTGGCCCTATCAATAAACAAATCAATAAACTGACAAGGTTACTTCTATAGATAAGAAAAACTTTCCAACAAAGAATGGAATTTTTTTCTATAGGCCCATTTTTAATTACTTGTTATTTATCTGTTAATTCTTGGAAGGTAATTTTCAGATTACGTCTCGCTTTTGCAAGCCTACTTAATCAGTGGGCAGATCTCCGCTTACGGCACCCCAGCCTAACCACAACCTTCGCTTCTATTACCTGTTACGTGCCACATGCCCCCGCATTTTAGCCACGGTGCCACATCTGATAGCCAAGTGTCACGTTTCGCGGCCCAGCTCGAGATCTCAAGCTGGGGCGTAGCAATTCTATACGTATTTCTTGTTGTTATTTCTAGACATTTACGCGTTGCGGCTAATGCAATAATTATTTATCTGCCAGAGACACGGACAGACCATAAACTATCAAAACATTTTCGATTTTCAGTTAGTCAGTCAGTCACTCAGTCGGTTAGTTGGTCTGTTTGGGTCTAATAGAAATACCAAATATTTTTGGCCAGGCAAATAAATATGTACATCGTACAAACATAAATAACCTCTGCATGCACGCAAACCCAAATTGGAGATAAAATATTGTGGTAAATTCCCACTACCAATTGCTCAAAAAGCCATTTGTCGGCCGACATGTAAATGGCCATGTTGAAAGCCAAAAGGAATTCGGTTGCATAGATATTTAGAACCGAAAACGCGTCCGAAACGAATTTAGGCGGGACTCCTCGGGCCGAGTAAATAGCTAGTAATTTATGAATAATTTGCTTTAGATATCACAAACATTGGCTAATAAATTTCAATTGCCAGGCTAAGCAATTAAAGCCCATTGAAATGCTTTCGTATGTGGTGTAATATTTCAGGGTATATGGGTTAGACATTTGGCGGCTAATAAACAAAACTAATGCAGGGTAAATCACGTTCGTTTTTCTCACTTTTGGCCATAAATTCTCATAAAAAGTTATGGAACTATTCAAGGCTAGAAATGCATTTTGTTCTTAATTTTTTAATGGCTTTTCCTCATTAAACTTATATAATTTAATAGTACTAATAAAAAGAGTTATTTCCACGTTTGTCTTTATTTTCCTTTACAAATTATTTGCAACACTTGGCTAATTTCTGAGAAGACTCCACAGAGCTCTTAGCCCAGTTTTTAACACTTGGTAAGGGTCTCATGTGCTTCTGAATCCGCCGAATCATTATTAAAAGCGATTCACAGCTTCGAATGGTAATTTCCAATCCGAGACCCTTAACTTTCACTGGGATGCTCTCAATTTTTCGTGAACTCCCTCAGGGGAATTTTTGCGATGCCACTTCTTTCCCTGGTTTTGGTTTTGATTTTGATTTTGGTTTTTAGAAGAGCTTTGTTCAGCTTTAATTTACTTTATCAGCACGCACACTCAGCGCACAGAACACACACAAAAACTGACAAATTTCAATTAAAACTGTGGGCGGCGGCGGTGCCACAAAGGGCGTGTCACTCACGCATAATTGACACAAATTGCGGCAATCAAGCAATCAAACTAACAAAAGCCAATCTTATCGCCATCTCCCGGCTTAGCACATTTCACCAATGACGTTTATTGACGATTTGTTCAATCTAATTTAAATAACGAGTAATATTTGAAACACGGAAGCCCACAAAAGTATCTGTCTGCGGAACACAGTTTACACTAATTGGTGGCTGTGAGAATTTTGAATTCAAATGTTCCAGCTGTTCGGTCGGCAAAGGTATCCAAACAATTAATTTGCCAATGAGAGTTTACATTCGTTTTTATTTTACTTGATTTTTGTTTTTATTTCCTTAGTGTTATATGTTTTTCGGCATTTTTCAATCGGAAGCCGAAACCCGATGGCTGCTTGCCATTTGCCGCCTGCCGGCTGCTGCTGTTTTTGGTGGAAAAAAAAATAAGAAATAAAATAAAATAAAGCGCTCCCGGCGACCCGTTCAGTCAAACTTTTCGTACTCGTATCTCTCAGATACAATTCACGTCTGTTTGCCCCAGAAAGCGATCGCAGGTCGATCGGCAGCGTCGCTGTCGCGTCTCTGCTGGCTTTGCTCTTTTCGCGGTCGCGAACACACCGGTTCTGTGGCTCCATTCGCCCGATTCGGCCCACTGTGCAACCGGCAGTGATCAGTTTTTTGGTTTCGGGTCTTAATTGATTGGCAGGGGGGATACTGAAATGGTGATATATATTTTATTTTACGAGAGAAGCAAAATAATTACAATAATTGCCCATTGATTGAGCAGTCAAGAGTTTATTTTATTTGTTTACAATCATTTGTTTAAAAGTAAAATATAAATAATGATTTATTTTAGTATTTATTTCTGGCAAGTGATAATATCTTATCAGATAAAGATACTTTAGGGCTCTATTCCATATAATCTCCTTAGGTTTTTGTTTATTTTGTTGATTACAAATTGCTTTCTTATCTCTAGTAACTTTTAATCTTCTTTACTTTTACAAAAAACTGATAAATATTTATGTATTTTTTACATATGGTAAGAGTGTTTTCCGATCTGTATACTTTAAGCTTTTTTCTCTCGGGCTTCGTGAGAATTTATTGCATTTTCTCATTACATTCAATTTAGTTTACGGTGGAAGTGGCGTTGGAACTCGTCTGCCGATCTCCCGAATACCCAGCTAATTGGTGTTCATTCTTCCAGACCCCTGCCCCGGCACCACCATGCCCCATCCCAATGCAGCAATAACAATAAAGTGATTTTAAATGCTTTTTTTCGCGTTTTATCTTTGGCATCTCTGTTTTGCTTTCTGCCTTCGGCCTAGAACAGATGTGAAAATGCATCCATGAGATACACTCTGGCTGGCTGCCAAAAATCCATGAAGTTGTTCCACCTAAAAAATGCAGCTGAAGGTGGGTGAAAAAAAAGTTGAAATATTACAACCTATCCCAATTCTTTATGGGTGGTTATCGTCAAGGTCTTTTCCCTAAATAATAAAAGGAATTCCAAACAAAACATATACGAGATGCGAGATACAAAATCCATGCAAATGAAATCTTAACTCACTGTATATTTTTCATCTGCCTCCAGCCCAGCATCAGCCTCGGATGGTTCGGTTTGGGTGTTTTTTATGGAGTGCAGATTGCCGAGTTCGCATGCAAAGTTATCAGCTAAAAAGCAGCTTCATGTAAATAAAAAAAAATCGGCTATAAATAATTCAACGAAAGTCATTCAGCGTTTCCCCATTTGCCCTCCGAAATTTGGCTGTGAAATGGTTGATTTTCGGGTGGGCATACGAGTCGGGGATCGAGGGAATTGGTTTCATTGAGGTCTTTGATTTTGCTCGTAACTTGCTTTTCCATTTTATCTTTTATTTTTTTTTTGTCGAAACATACTTTTGGGATTGTGCCGAAAAGCTTTTGAAGCGAGTGGACAGTCACGGTGGCACTTTAAATGCTGGACAAATATTGACATGGAAATTCGATGAAAAGTTTTTGGAAAAAAAACGAAGCGTCAGCAGCATGTTGTATTCAATATGCATTAATTAAAAGCTTTTAAAGTTACCAAAACCAAACAAATCGCTACCAAGTTTTCCCGTCTAGCCTGGACAAGTGAAAAAAATATAAAAAATTTAATGAAAAACGAAACGCCGTGGCCCGTCCTCCCCTTTTTTTGGGCCAAACTTGTCAGTTGGGCTTCAAACATTCTGTCGGCAAGAGAAAGTTTGCCAACTTTCGGATCGCTGGCAGGGCACGATTTTCTGTTTCTTATTAAATTTCATGGAAGCTAAGGGTGGACGGCGAAAATTATATTTATTTAGAGGTCATTTTTCTCATAATTTTTTTTGGAGACCTTAAAAATCATCGACAGTACCAGCAGCGTTTAATGAAAGTTCTTTTTAATTAATGATTTTTAAGGGTCCTTTATTTTGATTGAATCAAATGGTACTTCCTGGTGGAACTTGTGGAAGTTTTGGCATGTGTCTCTCCATACTCTTTTTTTTTTTTTTTTTTTTGACCCGCTCACGCATCCTGACAGCCTGGGCCCAAAGAGGCACTTGGCCCGGCCAGAAACTGGCTAGAACAATGAGCTCCCTCATTGGCAGCATGAATAGCAGAGTGGGTGTAGGGATGGGGGGGGGGTGGGGGCTTATGGAGACCACAATTGAACTGCGGTGGGCATCGTAAGGCCGCCGTAGCTTTTGTTGCCATGCGGATGACACTTTGAACGCGTGTATGTGGCAGGTCCTGGAAGCCCGGCTGCTGCCATTGCTCCCGCTGATAATGAGGAATGTGAAATGGAAAAGGGACAACTGAGTTCAGCTTCAGATTAAATGAAAGTCAAGTTCCCGGAACAAAGAAAGCCCAGTGTACAGATGTGGGTCAACTTTGAGCAAGTCTTAATTATCTTCAAGAATTTCAAATATTTTAATTGGGTCTTACCAGGAATTGAATCGATTTATTGTAGGCTTAGCTGAGCTCCTAATTGACTGATAATAGTGTATTATATACCTCAAGGTATCCTAGAAATCCAATTCCCCGATTAAATCTCTGCTCAATCACAAGTCCACCTGTCCACCCCATTAATTGGCTGCCATCAATCTTAATCCTTGAATGTCGTATGTCCTTGGCCGATTACGTCCCATTGAGTCAACACTGAGTACCATTAACGATATTATCATCATCGTTGTCATTGTGGCCAAAGCCAGTACAGTGACTGCAATAAGTGGGCCCACACGTATTCACACTCGAGGACAACAATCAACAAGCAGATTACAATAAACACACAATCGATATCCAGATTACCCGCAAAACGCACATTTACATTCTTATTGCATTCCGTGGCCAATTGAGCATTTGTGTAACGTTTACAATTTGCAAATTTACAAATGCTGCCCACCGCCCTCGATCGACCCATGACCTGTGGCCATGCCCCCTCATTAATTATGCGTGTCCCGAAACGGAATGCTTACTGCATATTTAACCTGACAGATTGGTCTTTAGTCCAGCCACCTACAAATTGCTACTCCTTTTAAAATAGCAATTTGTATGCAAAGTTTTTGCACAAAGCTCGGCAACCCGGAGATTTTCCCCCAAAAAATTAATGTGAAATAATTTTTGCAGTTTCCAGGAATCGGATCATGGGGTGATATGGGGACATCCCCTGCTTAGACATGTTTATGGGCCGTTTCGACCTCTCTGGGCAGTCGTAAGGGATTCAACACGTGGCAGCTCAGAACAGAAAGTGCCAAAATGGCCCACTGTCTGACTGAAGGACGGAATGGAATCCTCATTTATCGTTTGCCAGCTACTAATTTACACTCAAAGCACTCGAAATGAGCAAAAAGGACAGGCAGGACGAACAGGACGAGCACTGCTACTGCGGTCGTGTAATTAAAATGGAATTGTAGCGCGTGCCAAGGCGCACTAAATGGAGACGAAACGAGACAAATGAGAAATGCCGAGCACTAACTGGGCCACCAGGGCGAATACGTAATGCCGAAATGCAGGGCACATCACGTATACGCAGCGTAAATACGCATTAATTTTGGTCTCCGACATCTGCAGTACTAAACTGCCACAAGACACAATTCTATTTCACCCAAACAAAAAAAAGGAAAGTCTGTACCCTTCAATTCACATCAATTCAGCTTAGGTGGTACGAATTGAAAAAGCTCGTCCCGTTCGGGGCATTAATTCAACTGTCATGTCCCAGCAGCACTCAGAAGTTGCAATGAGTTTTAATTACTCTCAATAAACCCGCAAAAAAAATGTTCACTACAGGGAAAAGTTTTTGCGGTAAATAGAAAGTGAAATAATTGAATCCTCAAACTTTGTTCAAGCCATGGCAGTGCAGTTTTCAAATGTTTGCCTTTAAATATGGTTAGTTTGGAATTTTTTCTAAACTAGCAGTAGCACCTAACAACCTGACACCTAAGTTGGTAAGGCCATTAATTACTTTGCTTTCCCTATAAAAATAAATAGGACTTCCAGCTAAACGCTTTGACATTATTAATTTGATTCTGTCAAGTGTGTTAATTGCACACACGCGTGTGAAAAATATCTAGTTTCGCTTAAAGAGCAATTAATTAACAAAAAATTTAATAAAACTTTTGGAAAGATCCTGACAATCTGTCGCTGAGAATTGAAATTTCTATAAATCAAGAGTATAATTCACTCATTTGGTTGTATTTTCCATGAATAATTAAATATTTCGCTGTGCTTACACAGCTGTAGAACTTCTGGCCGAAAAACAAAAGTCAAAAGCCCGCCGAAAGCGCCAAAAAGAAGGCTAAGCAGAGGCGTAGCAGAGATCCCTTCTACACATTCCCCCCTTCGTCATTGTTTTCATGGCAAATTTCACCTTCGACAATGTCTCTCTGTCTGTTGCTGGCATTTCCCTTCATCGGTTTTGCTTTCTACGCTCTGTTGTTCTACGCCTCTCCTCTGTGTGGGTCTCACTTTTCCTTTCTGGCTGTGTCAAGCGGCAGTTAAACGGTATTCGACGTTTGCCAGGACGAAACAAGGACCCAAGGGAAGCGCAGGACGAGCCGCGGCTGAGAAGAGGAGCTTGAAACAAATGCCTAATGCCTACAAAAACGGGCAGCTCAACTGTGTGGGTTTGTTGTATGAATACACTGGGGGAAATCTTAAGGGTGAAAAATAAACCCTAAAAAGCATATTTCTGGAAAAAGATTTCATCTTAAATATGTAAGAAATATCCTTGTAAAGGTAACATTATGTTTAAAATACTTATACTTCCTAAAAGCTTCAAAGTACCGGATATGGAAATCCATTTTATGTAAAAGGTCAAAGAAAAATCCACTCTCATATATAATATTTATATTTAATGTATTTTATAATCCTTTGATTTTTCTCAGTGCCAGTGTGCCTGTGTGTTTATCCTTGTTTGCATGCCCTTCTGTCTGTCCATCAGTCGCCTCATTCTGTTTACTTTCGTTGGCTTCGTCTTCGTATCTCAGCCTCTTAGTTCCGCCTTTTTCTTTACCATTTTTTGGCCGTAAATTAAGCTGAAAAGATGGCGGGGCAGGCGTTGGGGCAGGATACGAGGCAAATGGCCGAAAGCGGCAACATTTAAGATAAATAAAAAATAAAAATCCCGCTCAAATCAAGCAAAAGACAGGACAACAACAAGCAAATGGCAAAGTAATTAAGTATGCTCCCTACTTTTATAGAATAGAATTTTTCTTACATTTCTTTTTACAATATTTTGCACTTAACAGACCGAAACCAAGACCGAGACCAACATCGTTGTGGCTGCCATTCTCAGCAGACTAATTATGATTATGATGATGCCCACTCATCCGCCCACCACCCACTTATACCACCCACCACCCACCGCCCAGTCCATGGCCTCGATTTTCCACTTCAATTTGGTTTGGCAGCTGACTGACATGGAATTTCATGGGTTGGCTCGGAAGGGCAAGAGGAGTGGTTGCCCCCAAGGTGCTGGGGGGGGCGGCATGGACAAAATGTGCGTGGCTGCCGCATATTTGTTGCACGGCACGTTTAGCACATCGTTACCTGTGCGTAAGTGGTTGGGTGGTTCCGTGCCTGGCGGGTGGTTGGGTTGTTGGGTGGCTGGACCGACAAATCAATATCAACAGGCCGAAAATTGTGTTTCAAACACATTGTCCTGGACGGTTAAGTGGTTTTGAAAAGCCAAGGCTACTGTTGCGGTTTTTATATCCCAAATTAGTTACACAGCGAAAAAAGGCCAGAGTTTGTTATAGAATTTAAATTATAATTACATTCAAGCTTTGTTGATGTTGTAGGTAATATGCGCCGGAGCCGCCATCAGATCCTCCTCGGCCTGCTCCTCGCCGTGCTGCAGCAGTTCCGCCGGAGCTGGATCCTTAGGGACCTGGTTATCCGGCATCTTTACCTGCATATCGACCGCGAAAAAGGAGTCATCAAAGTTGATCCTGTTACGCTCATCATTTTCGAGATACATTGCCTTGGGAGGTGTGGACCCGCCCATGGCCTTCTCGTAGGTGTTAAGCCACTTGAGGTTGAGGTTTATGTGCTTGGTCGCGGCGTTGAATTTTTTTGGCTTCTTCTTTGGCTTATCAGCATAGTAGTTGTGCTCGAGCTTTTGTCCCAGAGGCGGCGGAGCGATCTTCTCCAGCATCCGACTCTTAGCGTCCAACTTTGGCTCAACATAGTCGAAGAGCGGCAGGTAGAAGTTGTATGGCTGCTCTGTTGGCGGAAGCATGCGCTGCTGGGGCTGGAACTGGGCCTGGGGCTGCACTTCCTCATGCACCTGGCTACTTGCCTCAGCCATGGCATCCTCCTCCATGGCAGGACCGAATATTTCACCCGCCCGCCGGAGAAGATTCTCCAATCGCTCTATGGTGATGATGTGCGGGTGAATTAGCTGTACGTCATCGTGCAATTGAGCCCGTCGAGCTGCCGGAGGCTTGGCAGACACACTGCAGCATAAGGCGCACCAAAGAAGCTGCAAGAGGACCAGGATTAAGTCCGAAGTGTTTGATTTTAACATTAATCCGTTTACTCACTATCAGCAAGCTGTTCATATCGATGTCGTCGGCCGATATCCAAGAGATTTTAACAAATCACTTTCTGGTGCACATAGACAGTGCTCCGGATGCAAACACGTTCACTTTCAGAAATCCCAAACGAAGTGAGGCCTCTTTGGAGATAGCCAATCCATTTATAGTGGCGCTCCGCGATCATAAACGGAAGCTCGGAAGTCTGCGCCAACAACGTACCAAACAACCAGTAGAAAACGAGTTTCCCACACAAGAAAATAAATATGTAACGAGCCAAACTAGACCTGCACATGCACATGCATAGGCACACACGCCAGAGTGCATAATAATGTTAATGTAACAGTGATGCCAAAACCAATCTTGAAGCTGGAGTTGAACAAACTGGAAATGCCACCATCCAACAGTTTGTCACTCATAATGAGTCCGAGCTATTGCCCGCTGCCTCGGCGTCGAAATTGTCCAATTTGAGGCGGTGGCCAGGGAAAAATCGGGCACCTGGTGAGCAGCTGAGTGCAAGTGCATTGACCCAGACAATTGCGAGTATTTCCGCAGCAATGGGAACGAATGTGTGAACCCGTTTCAATTGTTTCGGCTCATTGCCGTAAAAGTGCAAGTTCAAAGCGACAGGAAATGCTAAACGACAGCATAATGGGAGAAGTGTAACGGCCACAACTCGTCCGTTGACTCGATCATCAAAACATGTTGTAAAAGTTTATTCAAAAGTTCATTTCATCTATCACGATTACCGCAGTTCGGGCCATCCCTTTAATATTATTTATATATTATTCCATTCCTGATTGTATGTTCTATAAACTTTGTATGTATTTTTGGTTTTGTCACTAAACTGACACTAAACTGGGGCAGTTCATTAAACTGCAAAGCCACCCGTTGGCTGGATGGCACGTATCGCATTTCCGTTGCGGTCTAAATTGTGCATATCAATATTTATAGTCGCCGCCCCCTACTATTCCCCGGATTGGGCTGCAATATTAACACAAAATCAATAAAACCGTTTTAGAGCTCATTGAATCGTTAAAGGACAAATAACGAACCGAACCCACCAACTCCCATGACTTATAAATACCAATACCAGACCGCCGACCGCCGACACTTGAGGGCGCAAAAAAAAAAACACTCTCGGCGGCCGTTTGGAGGAGCATAAGCCATTAATCATATATTCCCTACAAAGACAGCATTAAAAATACATCAAAATGTTTGGGGACTCGCCATAAGCATAAACAATTTATTATTGTTCAGCTTACTGCAAGGACATTTCCGTTTCTATAACCATCGTCAGAGATCCCTTCTAAGCCCGGTGTAATCCTTCTGGGGCGACTTCTGATGATGAATGGCTTAGACATGTACGTCTTTCCAATGTTCGCTTAATTAAAGCTATTAAATTGTATCCTGCCATCAATCATTGGTGGGGGGATGGGCGGGGTAACTTTTGGTGCTCACTATTGGCTACATTGGGCCATCATTAGGTCAGACATCATGGCCCAAGGACCTGTTGAGGTTCATGCAGGACTAACATGTAACATATCGTACTGCCCCAAGCTGGGATCTGATGGCATACTTTGGTGCTTGTATGGAAAAGGTCCTGGCCCTGATAAGGCATCCCTTTACAGGTACAAGCTTTGATTTTATTTATTCATAATCAATCCTTATGGATTATAAAAATTTGTATGCTTTCTTATCTCAAAGTGTAGCACAAAAATCAAAGCGGAAATCGTGTTTTCTTGGTGGGAAACTTAAAGTTACTTTCATCTCCTGGCAACATTGATGTCCTCCCTCCAGCTTCCTCGTTAATGTGCCAAGCCCCTCACGTTGTAAAAGCCTTCTCCCCCGAAAAGCACATTGTTGGCCCATGCGTGGCACCCCGTCGCCGTGTGGCACATTCATGCATCACTCGTCGTCGTCGTCCTTCGCTAACTTTCATGCAACAACACAGGCACAGATACAGATACTGGAGAGCAGATACAAATACAGATACAGATACTGCATGTGCCAGTTGGAGGGTAAAACAAGCACTCGGCTGGTGGTTCCATTGTCATTGTTTATTATGCCAATTTGGCTGGGAGCAACAAGCTCCAGAACCAGAGGGAAACCGGGAAAACGCACCAAAATCAACTGCCATCTGGGGCACAGAAATCGAAACATTGGCGCCGGCACACCCGAAAAACATTTTCGCTTTGGTGGAAAATTCGAAAATGATGTTTTCCCTCATGACTGCTGTCTCTGGGCCAATTTGGAATTCAACAAAAATGGGCTTGCAAAGAGAAAAAGCAAATTATTAATATGAGTGATGTGGGTGAAACGGAATCGGAGTGCCTCGGAAACTGGGAATGTTTGTTGATAGAAATCCTCGAAAGGAAAAAAGAAAAAAAAACTTGGCTTAAAGCTTCAAGAAAGCAAATTTGCAAATCGTTATCTACTCCCCCTTTTTTCCCATAGAAACTGCTGCAGCTGCATTTGCAATTTGATAAAACCAAACAAAAGCCAGTGCCGGGCTGATGGGCGACAATGGGTTCGGTTTAGTTGTTGGCATAAATCAAATTTATTTTCCATTTTTCCTCCAAACAGGCATACACACTCACAGCAGCCAGCTACCAGAAGGAGGAGCTATAGAAACTTGAACTTACTTCAAGAAAGTTCCGAGCTAAATAAATATTGAAAGAAGGAACAACTTTTGCCAGCCAAGGATGGGTAAGCAAGCCAAACAAATCTGGCTCAAACATATTGAATTGAAATGTAAACGCTTCCCAGGATTTTAGTTACCTTTTCGCCGGCCAAGGACTCTGCATTCAAATCACTTAAGGATGCTTTGGGCTAAGGGGGGCTTTTAGCCATTTGCTAATTAGAAACCAGAAATGGTGAAAGTCATTCCATTCAATGGCCTAAAATACCCTGCGGTTAGGTGTTAAAAGACCAATTTAAAAGTATATGATTTTTGACACAAGAAATGAGAGTAGATACTCCGGAAAGTGCAATGTTAAAAGCTTATGAATACGTGTAGCTGTGGGTTCATTTATAATTGCTCTTGTGGCACACACAGATTGCAAGTGTATCTCGAGTGTCGGTTAAGTATCTTTTGGTTGCATGAGCAAGTGTTCCCGTAGATGTGAGTGCGCTCAATAAGACAAATGAGTGCTGTGAAAGTGGAAGCTGAGCAGGAGGCCTGTCACCTGTCCATCCGACACACCTTTCCTGTCCAAAGGCCTGCTGAGGGTCATTTATAACCGGGCCAGGCTACAAAACATTTAAAGTGTTTGCCCAAACATGCAAAAAGTTTTAGGGTTGTTGGTTTGGTTTGCTTTTGGTTTAAAGCATCAAACTTTTCAAAATGGCCAAGTAATTGGCCAGAAACGACTCACACTCTGGGAGCAGGGCATAGGAGATGGCTGGGACATCCTATTTTCCTGGCGAGAGGCTCATTATGACGGGATTGGAATCGAAATTGAATTTGCCAACCATTAAGCGAGTATTCCATTTCAGGCTTATACACTTTTTATATATTTTTTCTTGGTATTCCACCATCGACTGTCATTGGCAGCCACTGGCAGAGCACTGGGGACTTGTTTACCCGCCTGATTGCAGTCGCCCCGTAATCAAATTGCCAGCCCCAGGACCTGCCCAACTGAGCAGGAGAATCCTAGCCTAATGAATCTAAATCTGTATCCGAATCCGAATCCAAATCCAAGACCGTATGAATGGCTCCTTGAGGAGCAGGCTCTTGTTCGACGATTTCAAAACTATCAGCAACAGATTGAGCCTGAATGTCCAACTTAAAGCAAACTTTCCTGGGGTCAAACGTCTTTCGCCCCGACGCTATCGATCGGGTCCTTTTTACACTTTGCTGACTTTAAGTGTCCTCCCAGCCCGCCGCTCCTTAAGCGCTGTCGTTGTCCTGCTCGTTATCTCGCGCTCGCTCACACTCTCTCTCTCTCTCTCGCTCAGTCTCTGACCCCACGTAATTGCATGGCCAGGACTATTATTATGTGCTAAAAGTGTTATGGCTGGAGGAGAAGCCGAAAGGAATATGGCAGATAGCAACAAAGAGCAAGCCAGAGCCGAGCAGCAGCATTAACATTATAAATTGTGCGATGTCCTGGCAGTGTGGAGATAGGGATAAAAACGCCAACAAATAAACTGTGCCGACTAGCTATTATCCTGCAAATCAGTGTTATGTATTTTAAGATTTATTTAACCCTTTTTGTTATTATTAAAACCTAAGGGGTTGTGGAATTTTATTTAATGAGAAAGTAAATGATAATTGTCCTTTCGGCCAAAATGTATGTTTTGAGTTAGTTTATAGCACATATTTAAGGCAAATCTCCACCGATTTGGGAACGGTTTACCATTTCGGAATGAGGGCTAAAATATTATTCGATCTTCATTAAAATATTTCAAAAATAGAAAAAACGAATTTTTGGTAAATTTTTGGCTGATATTATGATGTTACCCCTTTGAAAAATTGGAAAAAATGGATCAAAATTTAGTAGATCAGATTTTGATTGAAAATGATTCTACTCAAAGATACAAGGTCGGGAAGGTATAACATTTTTTGATCTTCCGACTATTACCAAAGTTATGAGTACTTTCCCATCGAGAAATGTAAAAAATTGGGACAAGAATTTTGAAGTTCATTATTTACCAAAAATGTTAGTTTTTAAGGCACTTTTCAGTAAATACTTCAACTATTTCTCAACCGATTCAAAAACGGAATACCATTTATTAACCAGGGCTTAAATGTCCTTTAATCTGCATAAAAAGATGAGGAAAACTAAGCAACAAAAATTTTAACCAATTTTTGGCAAAATTTATGATGGTACCCCTTGGAAAATTTTAAAAAAAATTGGTCAAATTTTAATTGGCCAGGTTTTGATTAGAAATGATTCTACTTGAAGTTAGAAGTTCGGGAAGGTATAACATTTTCAAATGTGACAAATATTAGAAGAGTTATGGAAAAAAATGTCTTACGATCTTCATAAAAATTTTGGGAATGTGGGTTTTTGGCCAAAATGTATTTTTCCATTCACCTTTTGGCCAATATTTCAGTCAAATCTGAATCAATTTCGAAAAGGTGTATCATGTATGAATCAGGGCATTGATTCAT